CTTGTAAGTCAAAATGATTAATTCCCGCTTGGCAACACATTCTAATAATTACGCAGGCAGCATCGAGAACCCTGAGGCTTGTGTTATGTGCAGTGGTTAAGAGATTTCATGAGGACATGGGAATGATTATGACACGTAGTTGACGAGGGAATAATGGGAACCGGGTTGTTAATGACAGAAGTCTGCCTGGTTTTGGACCGCACGGAGAAACGTAATAAATGAGATGCATCGATGCCATTGCATCACGGTTGGGGTTCATAGGGCATTCGCTTAGCTCTACGCGTGGGCTTGTATAACTATTTTCAATAGTTCTCCTGAGGAGTCGTATCCGGCGTTATTTCTTGACGCCCATGGCGCATTTGATTACAGCTTGTCGCTGTTGCGCTTCCAGGAATAAATCAATGAAGTTATTTAATATGTATATTCTGTTACTGAGAAGTGTGGTGTGTGATGTGTAGGCGTTTAGACGGACCAATATCATAAGTCACCCTCCCGAAAGGCAACGTCTTGTCGTGGTCACTGACCTGATACTACATACCTTATATCCCAGGTTGGCATTAATTCGCCGTTGTATAGAGACCGAAAAGATGAATAGTGTTGTTTATGGTAGGTAAGTGAAATATAGTAGTTACTCATTTAAACTATTGTAACAAGTTCATGCGACGTACTTCTAGTAAAGAACATCGGTTACTAATAGGACATTGTACAGCTGTATTTGTTTCATTCGGTAAGACAAGTGGCTCGATATGTCCTTTGCGCGCATGGCTTCTTATATCTGGAGACTTAGAGAGTGGCCTTAAGCTCATAAAGCAACACTATCCATGAGGTTAGGTAGGTAGGTAATTGCAATGAATATCCTCGTGGTGCTCCGAGACAGTGATCAAGACACCGCAATGCTCGGGAGGATCCTATTCGATGTCTGTTGAAGCCATCAATAAACGCATCTAAGGAGAATTTCCTAGGACTCGGCAGGATTAAAACAGCATGCGGGAGTAGGATTGACGACGGTTCCGATTATAGGGTGCTCGACACGCGTCCTACGACATAGGCAAGACAGGGCATAAAACATCAGGGTTAGTGTCGTACACAGTCCTCTCTATCACATTGAGGAGAATTAGCTTGGCTAGGTACCTAAGCTATGGCATTTTCTCCCTTCCAAAAGATTATACACGTGCCTCACCGACTGCGATGGCTTCGACAGCGGTTTAATTCAGGTCATATCGGCGGTTTAATGGCGGGGAAAAAGACGCGCGGTTTTCGATGGACCCCAGCCACGTACATAACCTGCTGAGAAGTTTCGCCTGCGTCCACGGCAGGCCAGGCTGGTTTCGGTGAAACATATAGACGGGCAATGACAATATAGGTACCAAGATGTGTTGTTGCTCCGCCAATGACGGTGGTGGAGCCAATGGGAGGTGTTATGCGGGAGATGCTGGGCCTGCGCCGTCTACGTAATAGTGCTGGCAAGGATTTTCTGCTCGGGGACGAGATACATACCTCCAAGGTATGTAGGTAGAAGGACTCGTAAGTTGTGTGTGCCCAGCTGGTTCCTTGTCGTAGCACAAAACATCAGCTTTTTTTTTCTCGAATAGGACGGGTTTTTGCGGCAGCTTGCTAGCGTCTGGGGGAACATTTCGTGTCCAGCGCAAGTCGCACCGGATGGTGGTGCAAATTTCCAGATGTTTCACTTCGCGAGGCTGTTTTTCTTCCCGGCGATAATTCTTGGTCCCCTATGTAGGTAGGTAATGATGTTATCTTGAAGATATCTAGCCACCATTACAGCCGGCAAATTGCTGGGAAGTTGGAACGATGCCTAAGTCCTATGTCCTATGTGTAAGGAAAATTGAATGCGGATGGATGGTTTAGGGCCACAACTCCCTACTTAGGTGCTGAGTTGTGCCACGACGGGAACTCGGTGAGACCGATATCGACACTAGCAACGGTGAGAACCCGTTTGACATATGCCCAAAGGGACTATGGTTAGTAGCTTGTCAACGCAAGTAATTGTAGGTGGTTAACCCAGAGTACCTATTAATGCGTCGAGTATCCAACCACAACGCCGGGACACAACGAGACGGTTAGTTGTTGCCGGAGAAATGCGTCTGCTGTAACTTGATGTGACATCAACGGACAACTCATCAACATCGGGCTGGGTCAGTTCGATGGGGCCTCCCACTAGACAGGGTCTTCAATCTTGCTTTTTCTTTTCTTCTTGCAGGATACGGATAAAATACCTATATTCACCCTCGCCGATAAGAATTTTTAATTATTCAAATACAGATCTCATAATAGGTAGCTCTTCATAACTGTGAGCTCTTAAAATACTCAGTTAGGTCAGCTACTTGGGAGAATTGAAAGTTGAAAGTGGAGAATTGAGATTTGAATTGGAAGTCGAAAAAATAGTGTAGATGCAAGGCACGGTTGCAACTTTTTTGCTCTTAGCTATGGTGATGTCATACCTTTCTCAACCAATGAGATTAGATAAACCTGGTAAACTAAATCCATGCTTAGGATCCTGCCCCGCATGAGCTTTCAATGCCTGTAAGCTGTGTCCAGACATCTCCCTTAGTTACCTAATCAAATGTGGGTCCACAGATCTTTCAATGATACCTCAATCAGATGTTTTTAGCAAGAACAAGGACAGCAACGCATATGTGCTCTTGTTCATAACTTGAATATGACCCCTGATACCATACATAGCAGAAAATCTCGTATCCAGCCCAACCTCTTAGATCTTTTAGATAATAATACTACCTCCAGATATATGCGGCCGGGCAGTAATCCGTATCCAGCACGGCTATTGGAACGGCGCCCATACCGGGCGGTGGTCTACAATAGCTTATATAATCAATATTATCAGCCAATCAAACCTCTAGATTACCCTGTCCAGTTGTCCGTATGCAGTAATCGCCTTAATCCTTGCAGACCTTTTTTTCTTGGAGTTCTCTCCGCTTTGAATCAATCTATTTACCTTTCTTGGTTGCTTCCACTAGATCAACAAGCTGATAGAAAATCCGGCCTTGGACATATGAGCATCATAGACATATAAGCATCATATTCAACACTTAGAGTCTACGGATCAGTGGTTATTTATTTATTACTACCAACCATATACCTATGCTAGCTAGGTAGTTAGATATTACGGCGAATACATCCAAATCGGTAGACATCCAGAACAAGAAACTGGGCGGTCGTTTGGATAACTTCATAGAGCATTTACCAACCTCCAATTTTCTTTCTTGACGATGTACATCGACTATATGATCTTCACCACTAACTATATGCTAGGTATTTAAACACCAATCTAGCATTGCCAAATACAGTCTAAAGAGACATTGGCCTTTCTTCTTTTAGTCCGACCCAAACTAGATACAGACGACTAAAAGCAATTACAGCTAAGATAGGACCAGTGAATATTAATGAGCTCATCGCGTATATGCTTGCTTGGTCTAGATCAGTAGTACATAGGGCATTTAGGTAGTTCCCACGTAATGATGCAACTCGGTATGGGCGGTCAAGTCCCGTGCCAAGTATACTAAGTGTATTTACTGGGTGATGCGGGCCAAGCTTACAACTTACTGCACCTGCTGTCGTTGATGCTGTCCTCGTTCATGCTAGCATCGACGATCAGTAACCGGATTTTTGGGAGCTACGCACCAATATTGGTGGATCAGGTACACGTTACGCTAGGCTTTCATTAGTATGAGGTAGGTAGCCTCAAATCAGTACTGGCCTCAAATCATCACCCTCGGTACCTACATTTATGTACCTTGATATGTGGGTGCGGGTACCTTTTTCGATGCAGGTTCGGTGTGAAATACAATATTTGACCAGGCAACACCGTGACTACGGGCGTACCTAATTAATGGAAGGAAGGTGTGGTAGGTACAATATACTCAGTGTTTGTGTACATGGAAAAATTGTTACCTGCATCAGGTGTGGATCAGCTAGCCATGTTAGAATAAATCAGATCACTTGGGGAACTGGAGATGATACATTCATTAGTATTCAATAGGATCAATTTTCATGTATGACTTAACCTCTCTGGCCGATTAATTATTTAATTGCCTTGGTAACCGACCGTCCGTACTTTCCTTCCGTACGTTCCTTCCCCGTAGCTCCTTCCCAACTTTTACGTCCCACGTGTAAAGAAAGAATCAGAATCACCAAGCAAGCAAGCAGCAAGTTTCCAAATATTAAAGCTTGAAACTGCTGCCTTCCGTTCAACTTTCTTCCTCTTTCACCACCAAGATTCAACACTCACGCCAACGAATACAAAGTTACGATAGCCTCAATTTGTGAGCTCTTGCCAACCTGAGTCCTGCTCTATCTTACCTGGTAAGTAATTATTTCTCGTCTCTGTCGACACCCAGTTTACGTTGCCGTCCCTACACATCTTGCACACACATTCACTTCATCATTGCCCGCTTCTAAACAAATCACTACATTATCACCTTGTCGGTACGTGTTACCTTACACATTTTTACCAACCCTTTCCCTTCACTTTCCAATTTAATCACCTTTCATTACCTATTGCCCCCTCTGCACCTCCGTTTCGTGTCTTACATCGCACAAGTACGTACACAACCGAAGGAAATTACCTCCTTGAAGGACATTCAGGTGCGCCTTCCTCTCTGTTCGGATAACTATTGTATCGTACCTGCCGTCTTGTAGCTGCCTGTCTTGCAGTCTCTCTTCTTACCGATAAACAAATACGGTCCCCTCTTCCTAATCTCGACGTTCATCCAACTCATTTCTTTTTTCTACAACATTTTCCACATTCACAAACATAGATCTTCTACCAACATCACAACTGTGAACGCACCCTCATCCACACACGCACACGCATTTCACAATTTTGCACGCTTTTTGAGCATCCATTTCTACGATTTTCTACGGTTTCATTTTGACAGCAGCAATTCTTACCATTCTTGGTTCACAGTCAATCGATCTCAGCACATCGACATCTTGCCATCATTCCGCCTACGACATTATCCAAGATGATGTTCTCTGCGATGCTCGTTGGCGCTGGTGCAGCCGTCGCTGCGGCTCAGGGCTCCGGCTTCCCTCAGGGCTTCCCTCAGTGCGGTGTAAGTACTATCATCTATTTACGTCCTAATTATTGATGCCTAACTCAAAAAAAAAAAATGTTGAATTACACTTACTCAATCCTTTTTAGGTCACTTGCGTCAACAACATGTTGAGCCAAGCTTCCCAGCTTGGATGTTCCGAGATCACCCCCTCGTGCCTCTGCACTAAACAGAACTTCATATACGGAGTTAGAGACTGCGCTACGGAGTCTTGCCCTGACCAATCCGTCGCCCAGCAGGTCATCCAGTACGGTAGTCAATACTGCGCTGGTAAGTCTCATTATAACCAAATGGATTAGTAACTTACCCACGACCGCGATGCTAACCATTCGGAATAGGTGTTGGTGTTGTCGTCTCTGGTATTCCCTCTGCTGTAAGTTGTGGTTATGAAAATTTAGCTCCAACTTTTATTAACTCATGAATTCTTAGACTGGAGAGAACCCTACTGCCTCCACCACTGTGGTTGCAACCGCGTCTCCCACCGCCAACCCTGGTTCTCCTGAGGGATCAGCTTCGGCTTCAGCTTCGGCTTCATCGGCTCTGTCAGCCTCGTCGGCTTCGGAAAGTTCCACTTCTGGAGGATCAGCAACTCAAGAGTCCAGCAGTAAGAGCCTTTCCTTTACCATCGTAACGGGCAGTTACGGTGACGTTTATATCTCCATGCTCACAGACAATTCAGCTTCCGGTACTGGTATCGTTGTTATCCCCATCACTACGGCGACCATCTCGACTACTATCAGCGGCAGTGATGGCCCCATCACCTCGGCTGTCGCTAGTACCGTCTTCTCGACTTCTGGAGCTTCCGCCTCGGGTAGTGTCACCTCTGGCACTGAGTCTGGATCTGTCACCACGGGTGTGATTGAGTCGTCTGTTACCACCAATGGCTCGACCCTGGTAACTAGCATCACTACTACCGGTCCGGCAAGCAGCCAAACCTCAGAGGGAAGCAGCGAATCTACCCCCAACGGAAACGCGGAGTCGACTTCATCTACTTCGAACCCTGCTGCACAGCGAACCGCAGCACCAGCCGGCCTCATTGCCGCTGCTGGTTTAGCCGCTCTGATGCTATAGACGGCTTGGTGAGCAAGTGATTTGGTCAGGCTGAATCTCAATTCAGAAAAAAACGGCATTTGGTTTGAGAGGGTATGCAAACGGGTCACATAATATTATTGGTCGGTTTGTTCAAGGATGATTCACGACAGCTGGGATTCCCCTTCACTTGATGATGCGATGACTTTGAGGTTGCAGGCGGCTTTTTTACGATGTATAAATGATTCATTGTCCTTCTTAGGACTACTAATACCTGTTTTAGAGATACCCACCCCCTGAGCAGATGGCATCAGGCATCGGGCAGTGGAGTTGGCTTCTCGCTTTCATCAGTGGAACTAATAAATAGTGCTCCTTTCATCAACGCATGTGTCTCTGTGAACTTATTCATGTTATGTCCAGTCTGCAGTTGTTGTTTTTGGACCAGTTTGTACCTCGCGAATCGTATGATAGCTAATAGCTGTACTTGTGCGCATTCACGTATTGCCAAAAAATGAAAGGTTTATAACATACCTAACCAGTAATACGTTGACAATTTATTTCGTGAATTGACTTGCAACTTGGTGTAATCTTTTATCTTCTGGTCCTCATGCAATCCCTTGTTGATATATATACAGGTACGCATCGTAGCTTCGTAATTTTAATTTTAGCCAAGTAGTAGTCACTCCTAACGCAACCTTATTGTACCTTTTACCCCTTTGCAGCCCACCCAGTCCAAACCAAAGAACACTTCCCTTACCACAAACTCTGGCTTCAATTCTTCATCTCCTTGCTTCGACCTAATTATCTTACGATAACCTACACCATTTGGGCTAACAATATGGGGCAGATGCAAAGTATCACTATGAGGCGATATCAGGGGTGGCCTCCTCCAACATTACTAGTCCATGCTGGTTCGGCTTTCATGAATTTGCCATTGGAAATAATTCACTACATCTACAATTTCTTCTTAGATCCAATATCAACAATAGCCCTCGCTCTGACATGTAAAGACATGTTCGCCGTAATATCAATCAAGTCGCTGCCAAAACTGGACTTACCTGACCTGAAAGAATTGCTGCTCCTCCTCGAGAAAGATATGAATGGCCCACGGCCGAGTTACTTCTGCCATACCTGCACGCGCTTACATTATCTCGAGAACACCGGCGAGGACGAAACCATATTCAACTATAACCACGGTATAAAATCAAATAACCATTGTTGCAATGACCTATGGCTTAGTGGTAGCAATTTCGCCATCAGATACCACCATATCCGCCTCATCATGAATCGGCACTATTACGGCGCACCTGGAGGTTTGCCGTTGAGCGTGTTTGACGTCGTAGACCAGTCGGGATTCTGCCAGCCACGCTAGCTTCGGAAATGGTCGGCAAGGGTTATAGATGACGAGCTTTTCCTATCTGCTACGCACAAGATCCGCTTCCTTGGTACGGAGGGGGACTTTCGAGACTTCCTTGACCGGAGGGAGTATCAGGTATGTGCGCATACTTGTACAATGAGGCGTGGGGTTGGGTCTGCGGACAAGGAGGTAGAGAAAGCGGAGAAGTTTCATATACGTCTTCTGAAGCTTCAGGAGACCGTCAACCGGACGGTGTGGATGAAAGGCGGCATTCCTACGGAACATTCTTTTTCGTACAATCCTCCTTGGGGCCCCAGCCGCACTATCAACTCATTTAGGCCTGAGAAAAGCACGGGTCCTACGCTCCAACCTAGGCTTTTAAGGCAGTGTCGGGATGTCCTCGGATGGTGCATCTTCTGCGCTACTGACTACGCAACGACTCTCGAGAAAAGAAAGGTTGGGCATTGGTGGGAGCGCGGGCGGGAAGAATGGACCCTGACCATCGTCGCCTATCATCAACTGGGAAGCGGTCGAACGCCGGCTGATCCGTTTTGGAAGGCGTTTACGACGAAATGTTCGAGCTATTCGGAGCCTTACCGCGAGATATTAGGATCTTCGCCTAGAAGCGTGAAGGAAAAGTGGGATGGGTTTGTTTCATATGGCACTAAGTGAGCACTTCGTCGACGACACTTGAGTATGTTCTGCTGGGGATATTCCTAATTGGTAATTGGGTAGGTGTTTGTTTATCTTACCTTGAGCGCTCGGCCTATTTGATTTGTTTCTTTTTACATTAGGTAGTTAGCGGTACTTGACTGAAGTCGAGGGATGGATAGATGTAGATTTTTAATAGCGAAGTATCATGGTATGCTTTTACTTTGAGGGTCACTGTTAGTCGTAATGCTTTGTGGGGTGCACGTAGGTTCGCCTTTGAAATAACAACTCGGTATGCTGTATGCGGCTTCATGGCCACGGTTCTCCGACTAAAAGTGCGGTATGATTGATGCTGATTCCGGATTATGATGCTACCCAAAAGGCCGGTTAGATCATGTTTGACAGAATAAGTCTGGCTTCTGGTCGGATCTGAATAAAAGCAAGCCTGTTTGCAAGAATACTAAATACCGAGTTGGGCTCGCCTAGCTTAATGACAGTCCATGCTTTCTTCGTCTAAGAGGCTGCTAACTGTAGAGACGGAGGTTCGTAGTCTGAAAACTTGGCCTAGGTTGAAAAGGGGGGAGTGTTTTGTAAATAAAACCTACCTACCTAAGGTATACATTGCAGCTTCTTTGCTATTAGGAAACGTAGGGACCTACTAAAGAATTCCTAGCAATGTGTCAAATGACAAGGAATACGATAGGTTTATGACGTGATAAGGGTTCTAAGATCTAGCTTGAAGCTATCTACCAGCTGGTCATTCATTATGTTGTATATAAGGGGACCTTGGTTCCCTCTTAGATTTAGGAAAAGGCAGGCGTTAGTAGTATTTCGAAATATATATACCATATGAGCTATTCACCAGCTAGTCACCTGTCACTCCGTAGTGGTCACATACCAAGGGCAGCTTCTGACACAATACTACTGTTGATCCGCAATCTAGTGGCAACTATATCGAATACTCTCTTCAAGTTACTAGAATAAATTCAATTCATAAATGTGTGCCACCTTCTCCAGCTTAAATTCAACCGTGTCCGTGTACTTGAGTGCTTTATCTTTCCTAACGCTAACGCAGAATAGTCCTCACGGATGCATCGCAAGAGTATATCAACTGATATTGTGAAATTTCGCTAGGGAAAACTCCATGAGAAACTCATCCCGTTCATTGCCGCTCTTATCTCACCATATCACCTCAGTAATTCTTATCCGCTTTGCCCAGACCAACCTTACTAATATCCTTTTATAGGTCTCTACTACTCTTTGGCCCCCGGGGGACCTGGCGCCAAACCAAGTTCCTCAGTCTCCTCTTCTGTATGCCGAAAAACGCCTTCAAACCGATCGATTAAATTATTTATGGACTCTGACAAAGCTGAAGGCTGCTCCGGCTGTGGCTTTGGCTTAGACCAGGGGTTTCGCCCGAGACTAATATACGTCTCGTAGAGTACGAATTCTATTCCGTGAATTAGTTTGCTGATTTGATGCAATATGTTAAAGAATATTCGCCTCGCTTTAGCATGAGTTTTTACGGACTCTAATAGCGCTGGAGGTAGATACGATGGGTGTAACGACTCAGATTGCTAGTCGAAGGGAATGCGACCAAAGTTATGGAGTATGACTTCTATCCTACTAAGTTGGATAAAAATTTCGTCCAACCTTTTAGACATAATTCGCTCATGATCAGCATACATTTGTATATGCATTGATCGACGTTGAAGTAGATCAGGTGGCTCGTCTAAGGTAACGGAAGTTGGCCACTGGTCTCGTACTTGGTGAAATAGGCCGTCGGTTCTGTTTATTAGGTCGTAGGATCTTCCGATGGGATTGTCTAAATCTTTTATGCGGTCCAATAGGGGTTGAAACAGCGTTGAGTATGGCTGTGGCGGCTCTGGTTGGTGATCCATCGGAATGAAACGCGACTTGTTTTCGTTATTATCTGTGGGATGGAGCAATATTGTTGCTGGCGTGGAGGTTATCGATCAGAATTGACCAGCTGGTAGAGTCTTTTTATAATAATGATGGGTGCCTATATCTGGGTAGGTGGGTATATATGTTGATGGGCGGTATGTTGATATAAAACTGGCGCGAGTGATATATGAAAATATGAAACGTTATGACGGCTTTTAACTAGCTAGGTACCTGCCCTCGATTAACCTCAGTAATATAGAAAGAAGTCGAGTGACTATCCCAAGGTAACCACTCCTGATAGGGGCTAACTTCTAGGAAAGGCGCGAGATAACTTAGATGATGTCTTGAAGGAAGCTGCCCTGTACTAGAAACCTTACATGTATATAATAACTAAAACATACTGAATATCTTTTACATCTTCGAACTATTTACCTTCACCTTTCTCTATTTCATCTCAAATTAATACTCGTAGTCAAACACATACATCGTATAAAATACATAAGTACAATATTCTAGATACTCTCGCCATCGTCGATAAGCTTTATAAGGGGCTTCTTCCTCATAGACAGGTACTATACGCAAACCTCCATATTATTTTTGCGTCTATCATGAGATAAGACAATAACCTCGACTAAATTAAAACGTCAATAGTGTAGCCGATGAACTAATGCACCCCAGATCACGAGATGGTGCGGGGTAGCTTCATTACTAGAAGCAGATTTATGAGTACCTGGTTGAAGCATCTCCAAGTCTTATCCGGATAACAATACCCCATCTTTAGGTGCATGTAAGACAGGGGCAAACGGGATATATTTAGCACCACATTACGCCTCCCTAGTCTACATAATTCTGGACACTACAAAAACTTACACTAGGGTAAGAGGTAGGCAACCATGACTTCTACAAAGATCCGACTTGCTACTGCATCCCCCGGGACGCAAGCGACTACCAAGGAGACCCTCGCACAGCTTCACCACATCGCCCAGCGTGCCGCGGCTAAAAAGGCTGACATCCTAGTACTCCCGGAAGCCTATCTCGGCGGCTACCCCCGGGGCTCAGATTTCGGATGCAAAATAGGGTCTCGTACTGCAGAGGGCCGCGATGATTACCTGCGCTACTTCAAGAGCGCCGTGGATCTGGGGGACACTGTTGGCGACGGGGCCGGAGCCGGCGAAGCCTGGGTCAGACGACAGTTGAGCATTGTCGACGCTGTCGTAACTGGCGATGCTGCTGCGCAGGGGCCGGTGAACAGGGGTGACGGGACGAGAGAGGAAGTCGAGCGAATCGCGAGGGAGACGGGCGTCTTCGTCGTGGTGGGGCTCGTGGAAAAGGCAGGGGGTAGCTTGTATTGCTCCGTCATATATGTTTGCCCTAAGCTAGGGGTTATCGGGAAAAGGAGAAAAGTCCAGCCAGTAAGTATGGTATTTCTTACCTACCTATATGCATCCTTCGTGTGACCAGCCAATGGCCCTTGCAGGTACGTGAAGCCACTTAAGTCATAGTTGGCAAGGTTAAGGTAAGTATTGCAGCTTTTCTAGCTTTACTTATTGAACTACCGGGTGTTCCCATGAGAGAAGTCCTATTGGGATTTCAACTTGGATCCGGATCATCGCTCAATCAGCAGCTGCGGTCTTAGCAGAATACCTATGTAGTTCTACGAGAATGGGGATTATAGGTATAGGAGAATTACTGCTGGGAACCATTCTATAATGGAATACAACCCGAAATAGTCGACTAACAGCAGACAGACAGGCACGGAACGACTTATCTGGGCGCAAGGATCGACTGCGACCCTCAAAGCCGTGAGCACCACAATCCGCGGCGTCCGTATAAACCTGGCTGCCGCCATCTGCTGGGAGAACTATATGCCACTCCTACGACAGAGCCTCTACGCCCAAAATGTTAATCTATACCTCGCGCCTACGGCAGACGGTCGCGACGCTTGGTTGTCGTGTAAGTGACCCAGCCCCTTTTCTGACCTTGAAGTTATGGTACGTTTCTGGAGGTTACTGTAAAGGATATGCCTATAGCATCATGATAGGATACCTGATGCTGGGATATATATAGTGATGCGCACCGTAGCCATCGAGGGCCGCTGCTTCGTCGTCAGCTCCAACATGTGCGTGCGTGGAGATGCCGCCGCGGATCCCGCAGCCACGCATACCCGCAAGCATGGAGTTGCAACTAGTAGTAGCGACCACCAAAAGGCCGCTACAAGAAGACGGAACTCGTTTATGACCGAAGACGGCTTCGAGATCGCACTGCCCGTATCTCCGACCTCCCCGGGTGTATCTGGGAAACCGAGGGTGGCGATGAGCCGGGGCAGGAGAAGGTCTGTGTTTGACGAGGATGGCAATGAGATCGCGATTCCCGAAGGTGACCCGACGGCATCCGCTGTAGTCGAAGAAGAAGAGCACTCGGCGCGGGTTAAGACCGCCGACTCTCCAGCGTTGGCGAAGACTCCTGCTGCAGCACCAAGCAACAGCTTCGTTTCTCGCGGCGGATCCAGCATCGTCTCTCCTTTCGGAGATGTCCTCGCTGGCCCGCAATGGGAGGACGAGGAAGGGATTATCTACGCGGACGTTGACTTCGACGATTGCGTTCGCGGAAGGCTGGATTTGGATGCGGCGGGGAGTTATTCGAGGTATAGAACCCCCATCTCATCTCGCCTCGTCCCCCTATCTGCGATGTCATTAATAGGTGTATATCTACCTAGGTTAGGTACCTAAGCTAACAACAGACTCTAGGAATGACTCTTTCAAATTCTCTGTAGTGGGCCTGGATCTTGATCCCTTGCCATACTACTAGTTTCCTTTCCCCTCGATTTGCTTTTCGTCTGTATCTTTCCCAAGTCCTGGCGATGATCTCGTTGAAGGTAGTACAGTATAGGGTATTATTTGGTCTAGCCCTAGGAGGTAGTTGGTTGTGTGAATCTCTGAGACCCGGGCTGTTGGAAAGTTTATACGTAGGTACCTAATACCTACAACCCCTTATTCATATAGAAATACCACCCCATTCATTCATTCATTCACTTAAGTTGTTAGAACCAAGCTAACATCACCTGCCTATATAAGACATACTGCCAAGAATAATAGTATTTATAAGAGCAACCCAATCGCAATCTTGTTCTAAATTTCAACTTGTAGTACAGTAAACGGGTATCTAATTTCGCCAATCAATCCCCAGCCAGTGTCCGCCTGCATTGTCTCCCATAGCCCAGAAGCCACCCCAAACGCAAAAGGATAGGAAAACGACACAAAATATACAGGAACTCCCCCATCCTCGCCCACCGCAGAATCGTGTCGTGGGACGTCATCGCATTCGCAAAAAAGAAACATTATCATACCCGTCTACCCTAATCTGCCAGTAACCTGCTGAACACTAAGAAGAACTTCTTCCAAATCACTACGCTACGAAGGACTCGCCTGCTATCAAAATAAGTCCTTTCTTCGGTACCTGCCCTTCTTAAACCTATCTCTTCTACTCCTAATCCTTCGTCACGAGGTTCTCGTCCTTTTCTTCAGCTACGGCACCCTTCTCCGCCGCCTCCCGCGGGGATGCAAGCGGGCTGTTTACGCCACCAACGCTTCCACTAATGCTATCGGCACGGTTGTGGTTGAATAGGCCGCTGCGGACGCTGGCGGCGTCCCCGGCGAGGCTTTGCTTTGCATAAAAACTGTTGCGTTCGCCGGCTAGAGTGGGAGTAATTCCAGTTGTAGAGTAGATACTCGTACGTTCGTTGGCTCCGGCGATCCGTGAGGTCGACTGGTGCAGACCTGGGGTAGACATATCACGACCACCGCTACCGTCGATATTGGCACTGAGAACGCTAAGCGGTAGGGACTCGCGGCTCCCTCCCCACAGGGAGGATGGCGCGAGGGCACGTACCGACGCGTCAGTGTCCATAGATCTTCGACGGCGCCTCTTGCTGGAGGAAGCTAGCGTGAGGATCGACGCATTATCAGTGAGAAGGTTATTTGCGGTGGCTGTATTGTAGGTGGTCGGGTTCGAATGAGGTGCAAGATACGGGGGGATGGCGGAGGCGGGAGAACTGGTGGGGAACGGTTGGGTAAATTGGATAGTCTGATAATTGCCTTGGTTGCTTTGGTTGCCTTGGTTGGATGAGTGACCTCCTTGAGCCGGACCGTTGACTGCGGCATTTGGCCCCAAAGACTGGATAGTGGTGAGAGTAGTCGTTAGAGACCGCACAGAGGGTGCAGGGGAGGAGAAAGTGCTGTCTCCTCCTTTTCGAGAGTCGAGACCTCCACCGGCGGTGCGGCTCGTGCCTGTTACCGAGGATGCCATATGCGAAGGAGCATGGAGAGATTGGGTGGCTTCGTAGTCGGTGCACACGGTATGTGCTATAGACGGGGCACCGGCGGTGGGAGGCGCGGCTTCTTCGGTAGATGTTCGCATAGAAGATCGACTCCCCGGGGCTAAAGAAGGATCAGAAATCCTGGCGCTACGGGAAGTCAAGAAAGATGGGTCACTCTGGTGGGTTGGTATGGCGATACCGATGCGTCCGGACTGTGGGTATGGATTGTTATTCTTCGAGGGACGTTTCTTGGAATTCTTGGGAATGGCATCGCGTTTCGAATGGTTATGTCGACCGCCCTCGGTGGAGGAAGCGGCATTCTTGAAGTTGGCTAGCTTCTTGACCCATGTTGTAAAAGGCCGTCTGCGACCTGGGCGTTCTTGACGATCTGTCATGATGAAAAACATGTTAGAGATATAATTCAGCGTCATAGCTTAAGGAACTAAATATACGGAAGAGCTAAAGAGGTGGGAAGAGAGATGGAAAGAAAGAAGAGATAAGATATGACATGTGCTTATATGTCTGGGAATATTTACCAGTAGGGAGAGGAGATGTCTCAGTCATGGCCATCTGGGGGTTAGATAAAGTTGTAAAATGGCGATTAAACTGTAAAGAGTCTTAGGTCAAGGTTTGATGCGGTGCACGTTTCCCCGGACTAAGACGCCGAATGAAAGGTGACGCGATGATTTTCTGATTAAAGATACGGGATAGTCTTTGACGTGTTGGCGCAATAATTTCCAATTGATGATAGTTGACCCGCACAAAGTCGTTGGAAAGTTGGGCAGATATGCGACAATGATCTGGACCCTATGTTGTTGTCTGTTGTCTGTTGTCTGTTGTCTGCTTTCGTCCGAACGTTGAGGAGGGTGGAGAGACGGAGAGACGGAGAGACGGCTTTTATTGAGATATCGAAATGTCCGTTCTTTTTGGAAATAGGCCAACGTAATCCGTATTGGGCTCCGATGTTGTGGTAATAGGGGGGATGCGGCCCAATGCGACGAAATTGTCCACCTAATAGGACAGTATTAGGGTATGTACCTAGGTAAAAGGTAGGGATGGAAATATGGAATGGTAGAATGGTTCTCTTTAAGACACCATCATCAGTGATGAGGTGCGATGGGGAATGGGGAATGGATATTTGTGGATATGTGGATTTTATGGGTTATGGCTGTACGAAGTACATATGCCCGTCGGATGCAGCTGGGTTTTAGGTAATGTCTCCGAAATCTGTTATCGACAACTCTGTCCAATTATAACGCTCCGAAATGAGCCTTCCAGAAATCCCCCCCTTGCTTTAAACTCCACTTTTCGAGGCTAATGCTCTTTCTCCACCTATCTGCCTACACGCTAAAGACTAAGGGTGCTAGGAACCTTCCATACATAGCATCATTAGCCACAGCTACGCAGCTACTCGCATTTTATACTTCACTTATTTCCTTCATTTCATTTCACTTCACTTTACACCATGTCGTAAAATAGACAACTCGACCTTGACATTTACATATTATATTCTCTCTGGCCATTTCGATGGATAAGGCCGGACTCACGCCTCTCCTATAGAATATCACATGACAACTACGAAGATGAGAGATGAGGAAAATACCGGTCCTCAGCAATGTCTATCCAGCAGTTGCCGGAGCATGTCATTGCTCAGATCAAATCATCTACCGCCATAACGTCTCTTAACAGTGTTGTCTGCGGCCTAGTAAATAATTCTCTCGATGCGGAAGCTACTAAAATCGTAGTTTCTATCGACTATATTCGAGGCAATTGCTCCGTCGAGGATAATGGTTTAGGAATCCCTCCAGAAGAGTTCAAGTCTGCTGGTGGCCTCGGCAAACTTCATTATACGTCTAAATTCCCCCCTCGTAGCGATACTCATGGCCGACATGGCGCTTTCTTATCTTCCATAGCTGCGTTGTCGTTATTGACAATAACGTCACATCATCATGGTTATCACTCCCATAATTCAATTAAAATCCATAACGCCGAAATCTTGGCGCGGCATACCCCTTCATTACCGGAACAGAAGCTGTTAAGCTTTCCTCACGGAACTCGGACGACTGTTCGAGATCTCTTCGGGTCTATGCCGGTGAGAGTTAAACAGAGGGCGATCGATGCTGAAAAAGGTGCCAACGCCAAGGACTGGGAGTTGCTTAAACGTGCCCTCGTGGCGCTGCTACTCGCTTGGCCAGGCCAGGTCTCCATATCACTTCGTGATTCCGTCGATCGGCGTAGTCTTACAATCCGTACCCCCGAAGAATCTTCGAGTTCTCAAGACAAAAAACATGACGTTCTTAACTTTACCACTCGTGTTTCGAGGACATTATTCCAAGCCCAGCTATCCGATGACCGCTCTCGGGATCTGTGGGTGCCACTTAAGGCATCGGCTGGTGCAATATCGGTGGTAGGTGCGATATCGCTGGTTCCCGTAGCGTCTCGGCAGATACAGTTTATTAGCATAGGTGTACGACCCGTCTTTAATGACCATGGGCCAAACGTCCTCTATGAAGAAATCAACAGGCTATTTACGAACTCAAGCTTCGGGGTAGAAGAGGAGGGCGACAACCTCAGTGAGAGCGAGCAAAATAGGAGACTTAACGAACGCCGGTTCAGACCAGATGGATACACAAACCAGGAACTCAGGGGTAGAAAAGGGGTTGACCGATGGCCTATGTTCTATATCAAGATTACCCTTGGACAAGTCTCTCGGCTCGCTCACTACGATGTGGAAGAAATCCTGGATGAGCGCCACGATAGCCTAAAAGCAATAATTGATGTTCTATCTGCGGTCATCTACGAATTTCTCAAGGCGCACCACTTTCGCCCAAGATATTCTAGACCTCGTGGGATCACATCATCCAAGCATTCAAATTCTCAGGACATACGCAACCAGTCATTATCTAGAAGCACCACCCCCAAAGTCGAATCTCGGGCAACAAGGGCTAAGGCATCTATAAATCATCTATCATCTACCGGAGATTTGGCCAGTACTCGTCTTAATCTTACGCATAAGAACTCCAAGAATTACGGCTTGCGGCCTTTATCTCCGTTCGATTCCTGGACTCGTATTAAATCGGGGCAGCCTCAGTATGCACACTTACACGACAAACCCTCGGGTCAATGTGTCGTGGAATGTGCTCATAGTCACAGTCCACGCTTAGAAGACAGCAATGATATTTCAGATACACCATTGGTTGCTTCGGATGGCACGCTTGTCCGTATTCCTTTCCCCGACGTAGAATTGGACACACCCGGTACAGATAGCCAAAAGCCTACACCTAAAGAAGAGAGTCTTAATAGAGACGCATCTCAGTTACGAGAAGGCAAAGAAATTTTGTGGACCAATCCAGCCACTAAAGATACCTTCGTCGTGGACACACGTACTGGCTCAGTGATTCGGCCCCTAAGACCCGGAACCGGGGGACCTGACGTACTGAATGAGACCCACCACCTGCATTCAAGAAAGAAGCTTCGTACAAACACCAAGCCAGTTCCTAGCGATTTGAGAAGCGAGTGGCTATGTGATCTCTTATCATCCTGGGATAACCCAGTTTTCAAGTTACATGAGCCACCGATCCCTGTTGCTTTTGAAGAAGAAAAAGCATTAGCTTTAGCAACAAATACTACAGGGGATTGTTGCCATGGATATAACTCCGGATTGTTGGAATCCTTACAAACTACTTCTCATAGTATGGAAGGCCGGCTGTCTAAAGATAGTCTACGGAATGCTGTCGTAATATCGCAGGTTGATCGGAAGTTTATACTTGTTAAAATTCCTTTACCTTCACCGCCTCCCGACTTAGGTGCAGGCAAAAGAAGGGGCACCTCATTGCTTGTCATGATTGATCAGCATGCTGCAGATGAGCGATGTCGGGTTGAATCCCTTATGAAAGATTACTTCATGGTTACAGAAGATACTCAAGACGCAGTCACAGGACAGCCCCAGCAGTCGATTCATGCCCAGATCGAGCTTCTAGAGAAGCCTATCATATTTGATGTTTCCCTTCGGGATAGCCATCAATTTGAGCAGTCTATCGAGTACTTCAAACATTGGGGGATCATATTTCAAGTCACCTCGGCGCTGAAACCAAAGCCTGACAGCAAGGGAAAAGCTAAACTTAAAGTCCTCGGCCTACCACCTAGCATAGCTGAAAGATGTCGCTCAGAGCCCCGACTGCTTATCGAGTTACTAAGAAAAGAGACATGGAAGTTGGACGAATACGGACATAGTGCTTCTCAGCGAAGGGGGGTAGAGGAGAAGCAGGGAGCTGGGGATAGTTCTGCTGGTCTGCACTGGCTGGCTCGGTTTCACGGGTGTCCCGACGGCATTATAGAAATGATCAACTCGAGAGCGTGTCGGAGCTCTATTATGTTCAACGATGCTCTATCCCATGAGGAATGTGTCGATTTAGTAAGACGGTTAGCAGACTGTACTCTACCTTTCCAGTGTGCCCATGGACGGCCATCGATGGTGCCGCTGGTAGATTTAAGTAGGATCCCCACGAGTGCGGTAGATATAGAGAAGCCTACGGGTGGATTTGGGGAGCAGTTTAAGAAGTGGAAAGAAAGCATGGGTAACTAGTGGATAAGAGTTTGTATAATTAGGGGACCTATTCGGAAGAGTGTTTTTGATATATATTATAGAGATACCCAAGCCATTCAAGGAATTTTAGGTTAATGTTAAGAGTTACCTTTGCTGTTGCCTTTGCTAAGACATTAGCAATAAACCACGCGCACTTACATGGATGGATTAATTGGAAGTGATTCAAGCACCGCCACACCTTAAATCTTTAAATGCCAAGATGTACCCCATCTGCCCATGTAGCTTGTATGTATGTACCTCGGTACTAGGTATCGATAAAGCAGGACCCATCTTAGAGCTTCGCGGTGACGTTCCCAGCGACGTTTCCAGCTGTTAGATAATCTAAATCCGAGCATCACCAACTTTCGAGCAAGGATGAACAAACTAGAACTAATGCCGCCCAGTTGATTGTCGCAAGCATTTGAGCACCCACTATGGCTTTGCTTTTAGTGAGTTATCAGTCTATGGACTCTTTATTCTCCCTAATTCTACTTAACTAACCTACCCAAAGTGGAAAGCATTCGACTTCTTCGAAGTGAGCCAGGTCAAGCTCGGCGACGACGAAACACGTTCATTTTTTGAGAACAACGAGGTATCGAGCGTGTGCTCCGGATCCGACAGTTTATTCTTCGGAAGCGATAACGGCTATGTACGCATCATCGGGCCAAGCTGGAAGATCGTCCGGAGCTTCCAGGCACACGACACCGGTCGCATTACCCATATGCGCCAGGTCGAGGGGACGAGCCTGCTAGTTACAGTCTCTGTAGGATATATGTTATAGTCTTACAATTTCGAACGGAACTAATAAGAAGCAGGAGGACCTAAGTAATGAACCTGTATTGAAAGTCTGGGCACTGGACAAGCCCGTGAAGAAGACAGGCCTGCCCACCTGTTTAAGTACTTTAAACATAAACAATGGGCGAAAGCAGTTCCCCGTAAGTCCAGCTATAAATGAATATGAAGATTCATAAGTTAACTAACCGTTATAGATATCGTCGTTCACCGCTCTCGATGACCTCTCGCAGCTCGCCGTGGGATTTGCAAACGGTGCAGTCACAGTAATACGAGGCGACCTGATACACGATCGAGGCACAAAACAACGAATCGTTTACGAGTCAGAGGAACCCATCACAGGGGTCGAGTTTGTAGCTGATCCAAAGCTCACAACGCTGTTTGTTGCAACGACGTCCAAGCTCTTGAAGCTGGTTATATCTGGTAAAGGACAAGGGCAGCCGCCAAGGACGATTGAGGACGCCGGATGTGCTGCTGGCTGTATGACGGCAAATAACAAAACCGGAGATATCATCGTAGTTCGGGAGGATGCAGTGTACTATTACACGTCAGAGGGAAGGGGGCTCTGCTTTGCCAACGACGGAGCCACGAACCTAGTCTCAACTTTCCAAGACTATGTTGCCCTTGTTTCGCCGCCCCTGGGATCTAGCAGCGGACGCTCTGATAGTATTGGGAGGCGTTTTGGAGGATCAAATGCAGAGGCCCTCTTTAACGCAGCCAGGTTTACAATGGTGGACCCGGCACTTCAAATAGTCGCACATTCCGAGTCTCTTATTTCTGAAGTTAAGGCTATTTTCAAAATATGGGGAGACCTATTCATTTTAACTCAGGATGGAAAGGTGAGGCATATTGATATTTGTTTGACCAAGCATGTACTCACCAAGGCCAGGTTACCCGCTACCATGAGAAGTCGTTACAGCAGAGGCTCGAATTATTATACCAGCGAAACCTATTCCCGCTTGCTATCAACCTCGCGCAGAAGTCCGGCATGGAGCCGCAACGACAAAATGTCATATACCGGAAATACGGTGACCACCTATATCAGAAAGGAGACTACGATAGCGCTATGTCTCAGTATATCAAGGCAATTGATAACACTGAGCCTTCACAAGTCATCCGCAAGGTAAGTGTCTAACTTGAAACTGTAGAATTTCTCTGACAGGAACAGTTCCTTGACACACAAAGAATACATAACCTAATCGAATATCTCGAAGAGCTTCACCAACATCACAAAGCTACCGCGGATCATACAACTTTGTTACTAAACTGCTATGCTAAGTTGAAGGACGTCGAGAAGCTAGAAAAGTTTATCAAATCTGAGGGAGATTTGAAATTTGACCTGGACACGGCCATAACCATGTGTAGGCAAGGTGGATACTTTGACCAGGCCGCTTACCTTGCCACTAAACATGGCGAAAGCGACATTGTAGTGGATATCCTCATTGAAGACTCCAAGAATTATGCCGAAGCACTTGATTTTATATGGCATCTAGATGCTGAAACAGTATGTGAATTGGTATTTGATGTTACTGAGATGCTAATATCGAATAGGCATACCCATCATTAATGAAATACGCCAGAGTACTCCTAGAGAACTGCCCGAGCGATACTACCGACCTCTTTATTGACTACTATACTGGAAAATATAAGCCTAAGGCTCACCCGGTGCCAGAAGAGACACAAACAATTTCAAGCGGCGGGTTGGCAGCTGGAGCCGCAATAGCCGTGCAGAACCTAACTAGCCTGCTTCCGCTTCCCTACATGAACACATCTGCAGTCCAGACACCTACCGGGCAAGGATCACAAGCAACAGTTAGCGACGCAGGCGCTGTGATAGATAACGAAGCGAACACAGAGCAGAAGTATACCCCACCCCCTCCCCGAACTGCATTTTCGTCCTTTATCGACCACTCAGACGAGTTTATCGTCTTCCTCGAAGCCTGCCTTAGGGATGATTCTCTTAAAGAATCAGACAAGGTAGATATATATACAACCCTATTTGAAATGTATCTCCACAAAGCAAGTGAGCGGAAAGGGATGCAAAGGGAAGAATGGGAGCTTAAGGCCAAGAAGCTGATCGAAGGGCGTGAAGTCCCCATTGAGAATTCAAACGTTCTGCTACTATCTCACCTCTCAGACTTCCGAGACGGCACAACTCTAGTCAAAGAGCAATCCGGGTTATTGTTCAACATCTTCCGCTCCTACACTTCCGCCAAGGATACACGGGGCGCTATCAAAGCCCTCCGCAAGTACGGACCCGAAGAGCCGCAACTCTACCCCGCGGCTCTAGCCTACTTCACGTCAGATAGAAAGATCTTAGAGGAAGCCGGACCAGAAGAGCTAGCCAACGTGCTCAATAAGATCGATCGCGACAACCTAATGGCGCCCCTGCAGGTCATCCAGACGTTGGGTACGAACGCGGTTGCGACCATGGGCATGATCAAGCCATACCTGCGAGAAACGATCTCGCGCGAACGCCGCGAGATCGCGTCTAACAGGCGGCAGATCAACTCGTTCCGCAAGGAGACGGAAGCCAAGCGGGCCGAGATGGCGGAGCTGGGCACCAAGCCGGCGGTGTTCCAGGCGCAGCGGTGCCCCGGGTGCGGCGGGCCGCTCGAGCTGCCGGCCGTGCACTTCCTGTGCAAGCACAGCTTCCACCAGCGCTGCCTCAAGCAGCAGGGCGACGACGGCGGCGACGTCGAGTGCCCCGTCTGCGCGGCGAACAACGCGGCCGTGCGCGCCATGAAGCGCAGCCAGGGCGAGCGCGCGGACAGGCACGACTTGTTCCGCGACGCGCTGGAGAAGGGGGACGATCGGTTTAAGACTGTTGCGCAGTGGTTTGGACAGGGGGTTATGGGTGCCGGAACGGCGGAGTAGTGAGAGTGAGTGGTATGGATGGTGGATTGAATCGGATGAAGTTTGTGTAGGTGCGTTTAAAGATTATATCCTGGAAGATGGGGTGTCGCGTCTATGTGTATAAGGCGCTTTTTTATATACATACCTACCTAGGTACATGTCTATATGCATTGGTATAATATATTTATATATACAGGACTAGCTACCTATGTAGCTATAGGGAATCGTAAATTCAGCTTTTGTCTATAATCCCGAATAAGTTATTAAGCCATCTTCCAACCGGCTCGCTGTCGACTTTAGACCGCCAATCGGTGATTCGGTGGAGGTACGCGGATTCTAGGGACGCTGGTAGGTCTTGTCCGGAGACCTCGATGATCTGTCCGTGGCGTACTGTCATGGCTGCGCGGAAATCTGGGGGCAGGTCGTCTGGTAACGGCGGCCTGGGACGAGGGTCATCGTCGGTCGGGTGTGTGGAGAAGGTGAATTGTGGTGTTTGCGCGTATATCCAATCTAGAGACTATTTTGAGAATAAGGGGCTTGTTAGCCCTTCTCAAATATTGACTTTCATATTCAGAGTTTAAAAGCGTAAACGGCGCGGAAAACGGACAGAAAGGAAAAGACGCACCTTAAGCTCAGCGTATCCTTTTGCGATAGCCGGAACGTTATCCAAAGCCTCCTCGGCGTCTGATACCGAAATCATCTCGGGGTCAACATCCCCGTACATAGCGCCGAACTCAGCGACAACGGCCTCCTCAAACGCGGCCGTATCTTGTATCCCTACGTTGCGGATTGGGCTGCGTACACTTTCAACGCCTCGTGCTTTAATTAAGGGGGCCGCAGGGGAACGTAGGAGCGGCCCTACGAGCGGTAGATTTGGCGACTGTAGGAGGCACGTGCCGTGGTGAAGAGAGCGCAGGCGCGTCAGCTTGTAAGCCGAGCCCGAGATCTTGAACGTTTGCGTCTGTTTCGGTCCGGGGATGTCTAGCACTATATCATGCCGCTCGTTGACGCGAGATCCGGACACGCCGAGAGAGCGCAGCGCTTGCACAACCATGTCGGCATGCTTGTTCCGATCGAAGGAGGCGGGCGGGCAGATCACGCTGTAGTTCACGTTGCCCGAGTCGTGAAAGACGGTGCCGCCGCCGGAGCGCCGGCGCACGAGGAGCACCGAACCTTCATTATTGCCGTTCTCGTCAACGACATTGCTTCTCCCCGGACCGAGAAGTCCCAAGTTAACCTCGACCCACGGGTTCTGGTTGCGGCCGACGACGATACAGGGACGGTTTGCGTATAGGAATAAGACGACGGACTCCGGAGGTGACTTCTGCAGTAAGAAGTGCTCGATAGAGAGGTTGAGATAGGGATCTGTCGCCCGCGATATGTATACTTGGACTCGATTGGCAGGGTGTGAGACGGCTTCCGCGTTGAAGAGGCGGCGCGAAGATAAGGAGATATAATAGGGTCTTATACGCGGCCTGCTGGAAGGGTTGAGAAGACGGCGTGGGAGAGACATATGGAAAGGTCGGGATTGGTGAAAGCTACTGAAGCTACTTGTCACCTCATTTCATCTCATCTCATACTATTCCATTTTATTTTGTCTCATTTCGTCTTGTTTAGTATTGTGAGTGGTGAGATTTTTAGTTGAATTAGGTAGTTTAGATGTGAGTGAGATTAGTTAACTAGTGAATTATATAAGATGAGATTTGATATCGCTGTATTGGTAGTTATGCATATGACGAAGTTACATATGTACAGTTAAACCTGTTTATAATGAATTAAATTTTTCAGTGTTTTAAATTTATTATAACGGGGATTTATTATAAAGTAAATAATTTTATTTTAAATAAAAATTAAATATATATATATTAATTTTATTAATAAATTTTATTTATTTTATTATATAAAATATATGTTAATTATTATTTATTTATTATTTAAAATTATTATTTATATTATTTTAATAATAATTAATATAAAAATAAAATTTTAATTAACGTTTTAATTTTAATAAATTTAAAACTTTCGTCGATTTTATTATTATTTTTTATATTTTAATAATTAAAAGTTAAAAATTAAATATATTATAACCGAAATTTAATTAAAATATTAAAATTTATAAAAATTATATAAATTTTAAACTTTACTTTTTTTAAATAAAGTTAATTTAATCGGTTAAAACCGTATAATATATTGTTTTTTATAATTTTATAAACTTTTTATATTTTATATAATAAATTACGTAATAATAAATTAAAAAATTTAATAAATTCGTTATATAAAAAAATTTATTATTTTATATATAAATTTTAAAAATTTTTAAAAAAATTCGCTAAAATAAAAATTTGTTATGTTATAGATTTACTATAAATAGGTCTGACTGTATGTACAGTTATAACCCCCTGTTATCTCGGGACCCTGCAGCTGCAGGCAGGGACATCAAAACCAGGGTCTTTATCGATAACGATCGCGGGGCTCGAATCGGAGATGCAGAACCCCCACCATCCCCACCGTCGTAAGACCTCGAAAATTAAATCTTGTCCTCAATCCGTTTGCTCTTTGACTCACACGAACAAAGCCTCCTATCGCTTTAAAGGGACCACGACGCAGTCCCAGAGGATCCAAAAAGCGAGAACTTACTAGACAACTTATAGGAGTACCTATATTATACCCTAGTTGGCCAATTGATTAATTTAAAATTAAAATTTAGATAACTTACAGAGTCATTACCTACTTTTCGAGTAACTATCACAAGATGTCGACCTTTGGAGATTTCTTTCGGGTAACTACGTCAGTTTTACCACCCAATTGACCTCGATACATATCCCTAACATAACATATTCTTTTACAGCTACGGCGAATCCCATTGTCGTTCGGTAGGATGTATCGTTGATGGTTGCCCTCCAGGCATGGAACTCACCGAGGACGATATTCAGCCCCAGATGAACCGTCGTCGCCCGGGTCAGAGTAGTATTACAACTCCCCGCAATGAGAAAGATCGAGTCGCCATACAATCCGGTACCGAGTTTGGCATTACACTTGGAACTCCGATTGGCCTAGTAGTCCTCAATGAAGATCAAAGACCGAAGGATTATGGAAACAAGACAATGGACCTTTACCCCCGACCCAGTCATGCCGATTGGACTTATCTTGAGAAGTACGGCGTCAAAGCGAGCAGCGGTGGTGGAAGAAGCTCAGCTCGCGAGACGATTGGTAGAGTGGCAGCTGGAGCCATTGCTGAGAAGTATCTTAAGCTCGCTTACGGCGTTGAGATCACCGCTTTCGTCACGTCTGTTGGCGCCGTTCACATGTTCCCCCCCACACCCGAATATCCCACTCCCAGTCAAAATCCCGCATTCATGGAGCTAGTCCAGAATATCGACCGCGAAACAGTTGACAAGTTCCTGCCCGTAAGATGCCCGGATGAGCAGGCTTCGCAAAAGATGGCCGACTATATAGCCGCATTCAAAGAGCGCAACGACAGTATCGGCGGAACGGTGACTTGTGTGATCAAGAATGTACCAAGCGGTCTGGGAGAGCCGTGCTTTGACAAACTGGAGGCCAAGCTTGGACATGCCATGCTCAGTATACCAGCAACTAAGGGCTTTGAGATCGGCTCCGGTTTCGGCGGTTGCGAGGTACCGGGATCTATCCACAATGACCCCTTTATCAGGGCACCGGAAACCCCTGCCAGCCCGGACACGGGTGCCGGACGGGCTGGAACGCCTAAGCCTAAGCTTACAACCAAGACGAACAACTCGGGAGGTGTCCAGGGCGGCATCTCAAACGGAGCGCCTATCTACTTCCGAGTCGCCTTCAAGCCGCCCGCCACCATCAGCCAGGCGCAGACGACAGCTACTTACGACGGCGAGTCCGAAGGTGTGCTGGAAGCTAAGGGAAGACACGACCCTTGCGTGGTTCCGAGGGCGGTGCCCATCGTCGAGGCCATGGCGGCTCTGGTAGTTATGGATGCGCTGATGCAGCAGATGGGACGACACGAGGCTAGGAGACATCTTCCGCCTCTAAAACAGACGGTGCCGCCGGCAGATAATGGCGTTTCTATGGATACGAAATAAAAGGCTGGGGGGATAGATGATAGATAAAACCGGATTACAAAAATATAGGTAGCGGGATAAAATAATATGATTGATCACCTTTTTTTTTTTTTGAGAAGTTCTTTCCAATCACAAAATAACTATAATAAACGCCACCTAATTTAATTGGCGGGGTCGTCTTTTTGTCTTTAGATTCACAACATGTTCTTTACTACCTATCAAAGTCTCAACTGTCAAAGTAACGAATATATTAGGTATTTGCCAAGGCGCTGCCCATGTAGCCATGGCATCCACAACATCTATACACGAGACATGTCCTCTCTTCAAACATCCCCTTGAATAGAGCATTTCTGCGGTATCAAATCTTATGTACCTGTGCATACCGAGTCGATGACCCCGTTCTTCGCCTAGGGGACAGCTGGGTCTTCCGTAATTCCTGGAGTAATTTAACCGCGTCCTTCCCTCCATGGGTTAATGAATAATTTCTGTGTGTATATTTCTACTTGGAACGCAAGGTTACTGAGGGTGAGTTCCACAGGTGTTACTTGAGGGAAACCTGGAATGAACACTATGAGTCGCCATTCTATGGGCAGATAACCGATATTTACCTCGCAGGAGGGACAGGATATTGGCCCGAGGATGGCCCAGACTTTAGTAGGATCAATGGGCTAAGCGAGGAAAAGAAAAGAGAACTTCTGGATAAATGGCAAACCGAGGTAGCCCTGGCACAGCTTCCGCTGCTTTGCCTTGATGACGACTAAACAAAGAGAAACTTCTTATAAAATAAAGGGGAGGAGTGCCTGGACCTATATCTACTCTACTACTGTTACGAAAGAGAAGTTTACGGCTATATATACGCTATCGTCCCAGAGGCTACACCAATAAAATCGTTCTACACAAATGGTTTCCTGTTAGCAAATTGAAGAGAACACCGTTAAAATTCATCTAGCCTTTATCCGTAAAGTTCTACAAGGAAGCAAGGTAGCTTATGGGAAACTAGAGACCTTCGGATATATTATCATACGCATAAAACATACTAAGGCTTCTCTCTTGACTATTCTGAGTTCCTATTTTCTCTCACGTTTGGTATCACTACCTAGAAACATCCCTCCGCTATGCAAGCTGATCGACAAACTTCATCTCTTCGCCGTTGACGTTGAAGACGTGAAGCTGTCCGTCCTCCCCTATTTCACTACGGCCCTCGGCACAGCCTATGACAACGGAAGTAAGTCAGCAACGACTGTTAGGATAAGATGGAAAGAAAGTACACAAGCAAAGTTTTAAATAGCGACGACTTCTCAGCCATCTGAATTCAGAACAACAGGTATTTATCGAGAGGGGCTAGAAAATAAGTGACACGAATGATTCTACGTACAACTGCTGTACTGTAAATAGAGCATGTTAGCAACGATAGAGATATGGACCTCACCCAGACATTTTGAAGACGTCGGGGGGGAGGGGAGGGGAGGAGTAGTAGACTTACGACGCCGTAGCAGGGTTGGTTTATGCAATCGTTGATTTCGCACGAGAGGCAGCCGACAAGGCAGCAGTGGCTCTGGTACTGACGTGTTGCAAGTGCGGGAGGAGGCTTGGACGGTCCGGCGTTGGTAAGGAGAGCCAGGGGCATGATGGCCATGGCGCCGAGGAAGTAGATGATAGTGGAGGAATGCATCGCGAGTGGAACTTGTTGGTGAAAGAAGGCCTTGGAGGATCACGTCAACGGGGGATGGAATCTCGCCAGAGTAACTAGTCTTCTTTATATATAGACTTTTGTAAACAACTACTGTATCTGCTGACGGTATGTGATTGGAACAACAACTGTCACTATTTTTCATAAGCCACTTGGGACCTGTTTGTTTCCTTGGACTGGAATGCGATAGATAACATGTTCTCATTCGATGCTAAAATTGGTCGGCCATTGGCCCCCCAAGCAATCATCGGAGTAAGGAGTCAATTTCATTCACCACTTACACTATCTATGTAAGGAGCTAGTTCGATGGGTTGCTTAGCAGCACACTATCCCTTGACGAGGTTCTGGGGTAATACCTACTCATGACTATGACTACTACCAACGATGGACAAGTAGGAAACTTCCGGAAGGCCTCGGGCTTAAACCAAGTACATACAGCAGCTGACTCAATTCTTCCTCTATTTGGCAAAGATGCTTCGAGTGAATTAAAGGCGCTGCTCCTAGTCTACTAATACACCCCACGAAGGCTAAGGGGTAGGTAATTTTCAACAATCCCATCTGAGGCGGATCGGTAGATTAGGGAATATCCGTATTTATTGTACTGCTACGTCTTCACAGCACGTAATTCTCGCTGTACCTACTCATCCTTTGCCTAGTTCTTCGGCCATCAGCATTCGATACAATGGACATCGAAAATAATTAGTAGTTTATACTCTGGATCTTGGGTGCGTCCTCTAGGGCATAATAGACACGTGCAGTTCCCTACCCCCTTTCCTTCCCCTATTACCTTCGTAATGCTTCTGAACCCCCATCCAGGCCTCGCATGACATCTTAATATGTCGATGCTTGGGTATACACCCCTATATTCTGCCAGTGCGTGGGATGGGATGGGATGGGATGAACGCCGTGAGTCGTTGTTCCGACCTCAGCTATACAGTCAACGACGCCTTAGTCCGAACTCCTCTAGCATAATATAGCATAATAATAACGAGCAAGCTTCCACCTCCCTTATCCCCATCACACACCCCCCTCCGCGTACAACCCCTCCTCCCGAATCCACCGTGCGATATCCTCACTAACCAACTTCTTCAACGCCTCCCAATCCCTCCTCTGCACCGCCTCGCGCACCTTCGTACTACTAACAACCTCCTCCTCCCCATCCGCCCTCTCCTCCACCATCTCAATCCGCTCCGCCCACCACGTCCTCCCGCCCACGCGCTCCAGCCCACCCGCCCGCAACTCCCGCACATACGCCCTCTGCGCCGCGGCATCGCCCCACTCCGCGTCCGGGCGCATCGTCACCCGCAGCTTCGAGTGCGCGAAGAACGGGTCGAGACACGTAGCCATGGACCCGTCGGGGTAGTACTTGGGGTTGAAGATGCGGACGAGCGTGTCGAAGCCCGTTAGGAAGATTAGCTCCGTTGTGCTGCGTTCTCCCGCGCTACTATTATGGCCGTGGTAGAAGTCTGATGCGGAGATGGCGGCTGCTTTGGCGTGGAAGTACGGCTCGGTTGTCACTGCTATGTCTACGCCTTCGCACTGGTTCTTATGGCTTGTTTCTGTTGCCGTTGAGCGCAGTAGGTCTTGCGCGAAGATGTACATCATAGCTAGGCGCTGCGGGAAAGCGGCTGGCTTTGGCGCCTTGTCTGCGTTGTTGGTGGCGAGGAGAAGGAGGACTCGCGATTTATAAGTGCTGTCATTACTGGGCTGCCCGTGCTCTGAAAGAGCGGACAGCGCCATACGTTGATGAGCGAGGGTAGGCGGGTTGAAGGATGAGTCGAGAACAAGAAGGGGTTTTGGAGGGGTTTGAGGTGGATGAGGAACTGGTGCTTCAGTTGGCGTGGAGGATAGGGAAGAATGGGTTAAAGAGCATAATACGCGGAAATTCGCATTGGATATCTGGTAGCTCTTGAGAGCTTGGGTGAAGACGGAAACGAGATTTGATGGTAGTCGAGCCATTGGAGAGTTGTCTGTTGATGACATTTCTATTACATTTGTCTAGGAGTTGTATATGAGACCAAGGCTATATGAGAATGATATAAAACATAATTGAATTTTAGGTAACGACACGTTGTATACTAACCTGGTATCGATGCTGGCGATATTAGTGAAAGGGATGATGATAAGAGGATGATGATAAGAGGTGGGATGAAAAGAAGTGGACATGAGGGGAGGTTCTTTAATCTTGGCATGCGGGTAATCCCGTCTCAAGTGGATACATACCTGGGTAAGGGGTAAGGGGTCTGGGGGTTCATGAATTAGGTATTAAATATGATAACTAAACATAAATAACTTGTACATGTAGGTCATCTCGACATGATTTAATTACCTCTTGTAGTGTTGGGTGGATGTGTTCCGCCGAATGAAACAAGTAGCCATAGTAGCCATAGTAGCCATAGGGTATCGTAAGTTATCAACCAGTATTCCAGAACGCCTTAACCTAGTGCTTTAATACGCCATCTTGCTAAACACAGCTCGCCCGCCAAATACCTTTAACGAATTTCCGGCTCTCTCATGAAGTCGGGGATGCTTAATCCGCCGTCTCCAGGGGTATACTTCTTGGACTTCGCTTTTCGATCTCGCTTGTCTGCGGCGAGCTTTGATATCGCCTCTTCGTCGTGGTCGTGAATGTTCATCGCCGCTATTCTATCGCGGTAGTCATCGATTGCTTCGACCATGTCCTCCACGGGGTTGTTCTCTGCAGTATCTGCGCTGTCGTCTAAGGCGTAGACTTCCACTCCGCGTATGTGCGTATCCTTTCCGTTCTGGTGATTTTCGAGCACGGTCACTCGGATAAACCAGCAGCACAGTGAGTTGCCATCATGTCCGCCACCAGCTCCATGGATAGGTACGTCGACCCAACCTTTAGGCTGGGTAAATTCCATTATGGTGTACGGAATGGTCATGTTGGGGCTGAAGCCGGCGGTGATTTGGAGTTTAGTAGGCGTATAACTCTCATCGAGCTCGTAATCTAGGTAGAGTCTAAACTTGCGTATCTCTACACGCTTGATGAAATGAATATTTAATCGATGAGGCTGCGGCCCATCGGACCTAGATAATACTATGTTAATGGGATCAGCGCGCAGAAGTAGGTTAATGCTTACTGCCAGAATTGGTTGACATCGTCATCTCGAAGTTCCTTGACGCCACAGCCGGGTTTGTAGCTGCTGACCGTAAAACTAGCTAGGTTGCTGATTTCCTTCAAACCGACCAGGGATGCGTCAAATGCGTCGTCTTCTTCATGGCCTTCATCTTCTTCGTCCAATTCTTCTTGCCCTATCTCGTCCCCCTCTATGCCCTCAATATCATGACCGTTGTCATCTTCGCCTTCATCTTCTTCAAAATGCTCGGTATCTTCTTCGGTAGGAGCTACAGAATGGTGAGATGATGAAATAGACAAGAAATGAGAAGATGCGTTGCTTCTTTGGTCTTCTTCGATAACGGTCTCACTCCGAATCCGAAGTAGTACGCGCCATAGTTCATTTTGGGTCACTGCCGGCTGTGGCAAGCCATATCCACCTGGGGACGAAGCTGAACGCTCTCTTCCGGAGCCTGGGATATTCATGGCGTATAGAATAGACCTAGGATTCGGAGTGGATAGGTAATAGAAGATTATGAAAGGAGATACGATAAATGAAAAAGGGAAAAATTCAAATATGAAATTCAAGCTGACCTTGAGGTGTCTGTAAGCCCATTGCCCACCGCAAGTCACGCCTTGCACTGCCATTTAAGGCAGAATATAGGCCGGTTGTCTCAGCAGCGCCGGCGCGGCTCGGGTCTCCGGGGTAACCTGGTGATGCCCGGGAAACGCGGTCTGGTCGCATCAAACGCCGTCGAAACTCTTCTTGCTGTTGACGGATGCTGGCAGGGTTCCTAGCAGTGCCACCTCTGCTACCAATGTCTTGAGGCTCCATTATTAAGCAGATAATAAGGCACACGAGCTCTTCCAAGGCTAATGAACAATTCTTCGCTCTTTCAAATTGGTTTCCATGAATAAGTTTCTATAGAATGTGAAATTGGCGACGTGAAATTATTGATGTTTTTATATACTTGGGTACAAATATCAAAGTAGGTTCGGTTTGTGACTTAGCGCTGTTTTATATTGCTAATATGTACATATCGTATACAAGCTATACATTTATATGCTATATTCATCTAACAAACCATTGAAATCTTATCAAACCACATCTTTTTACACCACTTCTAGCCTTCTGTACCTTATTTTTGAGTTTCTATCACTAGCATCGAGATTCATGTAACTATGACACAAAAGAACTACTGCTATCAATTAATTGGGTGTCCATTCTTTAACACCGGCGTGTATAGTTTTTAATCTGGCCTTTATCTAGGTCATGAAGCTGTCAGTTTTTATATTTTTTTATTCCACCTGGTCGCCAAGTCTCTCTATTTACCCATAACTAAACCTACTTCACCATCGAGTATCGAAAGGGACAATTAACTAGATACAGTGCTCATACTGTAAGATATATAATGTCATCTGTTCTATCCTTTTAACTCGGCACATCATTTGGAACGTATAAGACGTTTTAAACCGCAGGTTAGTAATAACTCTACTTAAGGATTGTCTGCCTCAATGCTGCTTCTTATCCATCAATCCCCTCTAGTCCCACTTCATGTACCTAACGTACGTATATAGGTACATATATACTTCATAAGATGTGGGTACTCGTAGGTTAACCGCTAATACCGGGCCAGTACATCATAGGTAAAATATAGTGCCATGTAACTTTACCTATAGTTAAAGTACCTACTTGAAAAAAAAAATGGCATTTACTTCGGTTGATGTCATTGGGCGGTCGTACCGGCTTGCGGTTCCCCGGAGCTTTGGTGCTACAAACACCACAGATTTACTGAGGGGCAGCGTGTTTCGCTCGAGCTTAAGACCTTCTATTATTTCTGCAACCCATACAACAACCCCTACAGCATCTCTCCTCAAGAGTCCAACACGACAATATAACAGCTCATCTTCATCTATCTCGTCAATACCCGTCATACGAGCTGATTGCTTTTTCAAGCCATTGGACAGGGGTCATTTGACAATTGCGCCCTGTCCACTCACGCCCTGCCGGCCGTTCTCTTCTTCAACACCTGCCAAATCTGTCGCTCTAACAGCTCTTGATTCGCAACATCATTCTCAACCAAGATCTAGGCCCCACAACAACTCTCCCAACTCTCCCTTCTACCTGCAACGTGGGACTACCCCTCTGCGTATAAATATACCACCAGCATATCTACCCAACAGCCGGTCTTTCTCTTCGTCGTCCCCAGTCTCTTGTTCAGCTATCATACCCTCATCCATCATGGCAGACCGAGACATTCTCCCCTCTACCGTTGTCCCCTCTCATTATGATCTCTCTATATCCTCCTTGAAGTTCGACGACTGGTCCTTCCAAGGAACAGTGGACATCCAAGTCTCCATCACGGAACCTGTCAAGGAAATAGTCATCAACTCTATCGAGCTCAAGCTACACACTGCCAAAATCACAGTCGACCAAACCAAGTCCTCTCAGTCCTTTGAGACTACCACGTTCAACTATGACGAAAAGAAGCAGCGTGCAACCCTCGTCTTCGCTGAAGAGGTTCCTGCCTCTCAAAAGGCTACTCTCCATATTACATTCCAAGGAATCCTGAATAATGATATGGCGGGCTTCTACCGGAGCAAGTACCAGCCTACAGTTCCCGCCGCAGCTTCAGTACCCAGAGACGATACCTTTCATTACATGTTGAGCACCCAATTCGAGGCCTGCGATGCCCGCCGAGCTTTCCCTTGCTTTGACGAGCCTCGACTAAAGGCAACTTTCGACTTTCAAATCGAAATCCCCGAGGACCAGGTTGCCTTGTCTAACATGCCCGTTAAAAACACTTCGAAGTCCAAGGATGGCTTTGTGGTAGTTTCTTTCGAACGGACCCCGGTCATGAGCACATACCTTCTTGCCTGGGCCGTTGGCGATTTCGAGTACGTCGAAGCACATACCGAGCGACGATACAATGGAAAGCAAATTCCCGTGCGCGTGTACACCACCCGGGGACTTAAGGAGCAAGGTCGATACGCTTTGGAGCATGCCCCTAAAACCATCGACTTATTCTCGGAGAGCTTCGGTATCGATTACCCCCTACCAAAGTCCGACTTGCTTGCCGTTCACGAGTTTACGCACGGAGCGATGGAGAACTGGGGTCTGGTTACCTACCGTACGACAGCCGTCCTTTTCGACGAGAAGACCTCAGACGCTAGATTCAAGAATCGTATTGCATACGTCGTTGCTCACGAATTGGCCCACCAATGGTTTGGCAACTTGGTCACTATGGACTGGTGGGACGAACTTTGGTTGAACGAGTCATTTGCTACCTGGGCGGGATGGTACGCCGTCAACGAATTCCACCCCGACTGGCAAGTCTGGGCTCAATTTGTCAACGAGGGAATGGAATCAGCGTTCCAGCTTGATGGAATGCGCGCATCTCACCCTGTTCACGTCCCAGTCAGAGATGCTCTGGATGTGAACCAGGTCTTTGATCACATTAGCTACCTAAAGGGATGTTCTACTTTACGAATGCTAGTCAATCATCTTGGAGAGAAGACTTTCCTTAAAGGAGTAGGGGCGTATCTGAAGAAGCATGCTTACGGTAATGCCAAAACTGAATATCTCTGGGAGGCGCTGGCCGAGGCCTCTGGAGCCGATATCAATGCTCTTATGGGCAACTGGATAGAGAAGATTGGTCATCCCGTATTGACTGTTGCTGAGGAGCCTGGGCAGATCTCGATTAAGCAGAACCGGTATCTATCGACAGGCGATGTGAAGCCAGAGGAGGATCAGACCATATGGTGGGTACCGCTCGCATTACAAGGTAAGGTAGGGCAGCAGGACATTCAGAACTTGGCCCTTACCGAGAAGAGCACGACGATTCGCGATATCGACGACAACTTCTATAAGATTAATAGCAACGCCACCGGTTTCTACCGAACAAACTATCCTCCAGCTCGTCTCGCTAAGCTTAGTAAGCAGCTTGATCGCTTGAGTAACGAGGACAAGATCTCCATTATTGGTTCTGCGGCTGACTTGGCCTTCTCTGGCTACGGTACCACGCCTGCTCTTCTTTCTTTCCTCGAAGGCTTCAGGGGCGAGACGAACCAACTTGTCTGGGCTCAGGTTCTAGATTCCCTTGGGCTAGTTAAGACTATCTTCGGCGACGACGAGGCTATCAAAGCTGGCCTCGAGAAGTTTACTCTGAAGCTTATCGGCGACGCAGTAGAGAAGATTGGTTGGGAATTTCCGGAAGGCGAAGACTATCTCAAGAGTTTGCTGCGAAAAAGGCTTTTGCTTAGTGCCGCAGCAAACGGCCATCCACAGTAAGTTGCCCTGCTACGAGATCATATACCTCATTTCTCTATGATTAAGACTACGCTATGTTTCACACACATTCCGTTTCACCAGCTAACAAACGGTTCAGAGTCGTCGAAAAAGCCAAGTCATTGTTCGAGGCTTGGGCTGATAAGGGAACCCCTCTACCCCATCCGAACTTGAGGACCGTAGTCTACCGCGCCGGCGTGAAGACCGACCCGGCAAAGGCAGTTAAGGCTCTCAAGAAAGAGTGGTTCACCGGAGCATCCTTCGACGGAAAATTGGTCTGCCTTGCTGCGCTGGGCCACGTTCGTGACCCGGACCTCATTTCTAGCAGCATCCTACCCTTCAACAGCGACTTATCCCCACCTGCCCCTCCGTCCGAATCGGTACCTTCAGGTGACATGCATACCATTGGTAGCACCCTGGCAACTAACTCAGTTGCCCGTCCAATCCAGTGGAAGTATATCCAGGCGAATTGGGAGAAGTTAATAACTAAGATGGCGAATCCAGTCGTTCTTGACCGCTTCGTCAAGCACACACTTTCGAAGTTCACTGATGCCAAGTACATTGACGAAATTGACGCCTTTTTCAAGGACAAGGACACAAGCGCCTTCGACCGAACCTTAGAGCAGGTCAAGGACTCCATCCGTGGCCGAGCCGCCTACCGCGAGAGAGATGCTCAGGCTACCAAGGAGTGGTTACGCGCTAATGGTTATCTTCAGTAGAGAGAGCCTTTGTCCGGGGCGTCATCGGTATATCTATCTATGAAACTCGTGAAAACTCCTGCGTGAGTTGCGTCATTGAGCATTATACGAGATGAGACAATCATATCAAAGCTACAAGCCAAATAAAAGAATAGTAAATAAAAATGAACACATTATATTCTGCGCAATTGCATATTGATCCTAATTTAGAGTTGAGATTTTCGTAGCGCTAGTCCAGTTGTGCAACATGACAGCTCATCATCGAACGCAGTCTTACTAGTAATTATTATATTCTCTTCTCTAGTTTGGCTTATATAGAAAAATAGTTAGGGGTAGCTGAAAAGGAGATAAATAAGCTAATGAGCTTTCTCGCTTGTAAAGACTTCGAAGCCAAGCACATCATTATCATTAACACAGTCTTCTCGAATTACTATTAACTATAGCAGAGAACTCTAACTCTTATGGCGAGGCGTCCAGCGCCAGCCAACTCGAGCCCCTTTCTTCCCGAGGTCTCTCTAATATAATTCTAGAGCCTCTCTCTCACATCATATAATCATCATTATACGCGGTCACACGCAACATTACAGGCAAAACACAAAGCAAGCAAACAAGCAAGTAAAGCATGTATCCTCATAATCTTGGTCTCATTAACCATTTACGCCAACCGACTTCTTTTTTTTCGCGTCTCGTAAATGCCAACGAACTTTTGGTACAGACAAACAAGGAATCCTGTCCCCCACCAACCCGATGCGCGGTGCGGGAAGAAAGCCGACGCCAGTTTGTGCCCACCCTATTGTTTCCCTTTTTATAAAGTCAGAGGGCCGATCCAAACGTATTTGGACAGCCCACCAATCCCTTCTTTTTTGCTTTACAATTATCCCCCTCATGAATACATGCGCGGGGACCGAATGCTGATGCTTTTTATATCGAAATTAATCCTGTACAACCAGACGGGCAGAGTCTAGATACGGTCGAGTGAGAACGAGGTAGATCAGCGCCATGACTGTCGAGCCAGGAGCCGATCTCGAGAGATGCGGCAATAAAATCGACGGGCACCGGCACGAGGCTGAATCCTCTACGACTCTTCAGTTCGTGGTCTTCCGCCACGTCCCATCCCACCGCGGCCACGGCCACGACCGCGTCCTCGTCCCTCTCCGTGTCCTCGCCAGCCACCGCGGTAGTCGCCTCGGCCACGTCCTCTCCAGCCTCCTTCGCGATCACCTCGCGGTCGGTTGCGCTGAACCTGGTGGAATCCGTCGTTCGCTTCCGCGGGGGTACGAGACTAAGTAATAGTAGTTAGTAATATGGACTAGAACGTCTCTTCGAAACACTTTAAAGGTGTGGTAAGTAATCATCTATTTACTAACCTCCGGCGGGTTCTCGGGCTGTTCGTCGGCCCATGATTGGACATTGCCCGTTGATACAGGGGTTGCTGTTAGGCCGGTCTCCGTTTCGGTAGGATCTCGAGGGACCTTAACCCACTCTTCCTGGGAAATGGAGGCGCTCAGGTCGTTGTTAGCATCCCATTGAGCCTCGGCGGCAGCGTTAGCAGCATCGTCACCGACGTCTGCATTCTCAGGAACACCAGGGGCCGATGCTGGTGTAGATTCGGTGTGGCCATTTGTCAGGGGGGCCGCCGTTCCGGTACTGTCGATCTCAGTAAGACCGGCATGGGCAACAGTTGGGTCGGTTCCATTGGTGGTCTCGACAGGCGCTTCCGTGGATTCGGCGGCTACCTCAGCAGCAAACAGAGCGGCATGAGCCGCAGATATAGCCTTAACTTGGGTGACTAGGAGAATGTTAGTAATAATAGGAGAAGGGAATATATCGAATACACGAACATGTGGTCTGAAGCTCGTCTCCGCTAACACTGGTGGTCTTTTCTTCGGAACCTTCGATAAGCTTGATCATAGTAGAAACAGCATTCTCGTCTCCCGAATAGACGTTGAGGAGAACACCCTCGAGCGCCATGTTCTCGTCCAAGCCAGCATCTGCCTCCTCTGTTCTTCGAGCAGCGGCCAGTCGAAGGAACTGCGATAGTACCAGCAAACTATCATGTTGAGTCTTCTTAGAGTCAGCTGCGGCTTGCTCCTTAATCTCGCTAATCGCATCGGCCTTCTCTTTCTCGAACGCCTCCGTCAGGGTCTTCTCTAAGCTGGCCTTCTCGGCTGCGAGGCGAGTTCGGTATTCCTCGTCCACTTTCTTATACTGGGCAAGTTGTTCCTCGAGCTGAGCAAGCTGAGATTCCAGTTGGGGTTTCTTCAGGCGCTGAGTGCGCTGGTCGGCGTTGATGATTCTAGCATTGACAAGTTCATCTAGTGATTTGTCTTTGTGCTGGTCGATTATGGCATCGGTCTTGGCAGAATTGGACTAAAGGGTGGGTGATGATATAGTCAGATATAAGCTCCATCAAGCAATAAGTGATGAGATGAGGGGCAGGGGAGAGAGGGGAGGGGAAAGACATGTGCATTAAAGAACTGATTAAAGAACTTACAATCTTTTTGTTTAAGTTACGGATGTTCCTAGTAAAACACGTTAGCGACAAGTAGAGCGCTAGAATGCGACGATGTCACACTGACTTCTGAAGCTCACGGACGTAAGGGCTTTCGGAGCTATCATCCTGACCTTCTTGACCAGCGACGGAACCAGCCTTCTCGGGCACGGACAGGGCAGACGGGGCTGGAGACTCGGTTCGCTCAGCCTTAGCCTTCTTCTTCTTTGCAGACTTGGACTCGGTCTGAACGAGAGGGTTCTGAACGGCAGAAGAAGGCATAACTAAAGAAAGGGTAATGATTTGGTCGTGTGCTCAGCGGATTAGGTACCTAAGGTGGGATATTTTGGGAGGGGAGCTTGTTTGCTCAACTTGGCGAAATGTAAGATTTCAAGGTTGATGAAAAAAAAGAAGAGGGATGCGGGATGGGATGGGGGATGGGATGCAAGTTTCTTGCGCAAATATATTTTTAGAGTGATTTTTGTTTTTGTTTTTTTCGAATTTGGAGATTCTAGTTTTAGGTAAGGTGACTAACTAACACTAGGTGAGGTTGTGAAGTTGTGAGGTTGTGGTTTGTGGTAAGATAGGGCGAGTTTGAAGAAATGATGCAGTTTGGTGCAGTTTTTGGTTGGACTTGGCAGCTTGGTTGGTCTTAGCCTAGGTCCTTGGTCCTTTGGGTTTGAAAGTGGATGTTTATTTTCTGCAAGTGCGAGTTTTGGGTTCAAAGCTCGAGATCGGAATTTTTTAACCAGGGCTACCGTTAGCTGCTTACCCTAGCTGCTTTACCCTAGACTCGCCCTTTATTCAGGGCCCAACGCTCTCTAACGCCCTTCCCTAATCCAACGGCTGGCCCCGACCTGACAACTGGGCAAGCCTGAACCTTACGTAGGAGCGTACCTAAGGTATTTTACCCACCAGCGAAACTTGAAGAAACTCTAAGAATTATAAAGTGAGAAAAAAAAAGATCAAATTTACAACCATCTACACTAACCTAGTCCATATAATCTTTAGTACCTGGTTTAGTTTGTGCTGCACAATGTTTCACATTTATTTAGTTAATGCCTCTTATACCTATTATTGATCCGTTTCTGTATAGTCATCCTATCTTTGTGCCTTTAATAAATACCATGCTAAGAAGCCTCGCATGTGCCTATGTGCTAGGCAATAAACAAGGCTGAGTGTGCACAATATATGGACTATACCATAACCACCAACAACTTCCATCGAGTCCGACTCGGAGAGGCCCAATGTATCCACCCACTCGTTACCTCGCGCAAGGCGCGCTTGATCGAGGTGAGACAAGAATCAAAGGGCAGGGCACACTTCAACTATGCCTAGACTCGGAATACGCTAAACACCCTCATTGGTCGGCTCATGATATAGTGTATCAAGTCTAGCCACTATAGCTCCGACAATAACTCGATACTATGCAGGCTTGTTCTCTTTCATCCCTTGAACTTGGCCAGGGTATCCTTCAAACGTATCAGTAATTCTACAGTTCGCCCTTACAAAGAAATCGCGTTAAAAACTTACCGCAGTAGCTTTTTTCACGCTCCGAGCACTTATCCCCCTTTCGCCAGCTTGTTTCCCATCAATAGCCGCTTCTTTCATGAGTCTATAATCCATACGGTTAATATTCCAATAAATAAATAAAAAATCGCAATGCTAAAGAGGAAGGTCAAACCGTACGTTTGCATGAAGAGCACGTAGTCGAGGAATATCTATAATGATGCACATCTAATTAGAACGCGTCGTGAACGCGGGCCAAGACAGTGAAAGTAGAGCGGGCCAGCCTTACCATGACATCGACGTTCTTGCTAACGTTGCAGTTAGAATGCGCTTTCACAATCTTCTTCACCGTCGCCCTCGGGTACATCTTCTGCCCAGGAGCCATTTTGGGTTATATTAAATAGAAAGACGAATTAAGGTGTTGTCATGTCTTGCTCGTTAAACCAAAGGCGTTTCAAACGATGGATTGTAAACTCGACTTGTTGATTTTGAAGATGGCAGCTAATACCTAAAGCCCCACCAATCGCCGTTGACACTGGAGCTGTGCGCACGTTAGAGGTACGTAAGTACTTAAGTACGTACCCTACAAGGAGCTTGGGCCAGTACCCCACCTCCTACAGGCCTTGAATTGACTTACAGCTTCCAACAGGAACATAGGACAAATCCAACAGCATTATCACGTGCTATTATCAACATCAATTCTTATTCAATGTAGGTTAAGTACTTGTAATAATATTTATTCTCTTCATAGTTCAAATATCGATGTAAGAGGGCTAATTAACATATTAAATAGCTTTCCAATAAAATAAATATCAAAATACTGGCAAGATACTTACCATGTAAAAGAGGTAGCAAGAAGATGGGAAGATGGTCCGTAATAACAACTCCGAATAAAATATTTCGAGACTATTATGATAAAAGCTGTATTAAGTGAATGTAATATGATCCTAAGTTTATGAACCGTATAAACTCGGGTGAACTATACATTACTTAAACACAGAGTCTTTTATTCATCAGATAAGTATATGATAGGAACTAGTGATAGGAATAGAGGATTAGACTTATATAAAGTGGACTGACTGGGTTGTTCATATTTAAGTGATCAACATAAAGGAAGATATAACACATAGGCTTAGTTTAAGCCAACTTGATTTCACGATAGTTGAGAAAGATCTTCGGGTTAAACAACCCCCTTTTTTTTGTATTTATTTCTAGCTATATCAGCGGGACCAAATATAGTCCCTTTAAATCAAGGCCTTCCTTTTTTATAAGTTTTCTAATTTTACAGTTTTTTTTTTCTTTCCTTCATTTTCAAAACACTGCCAAAGCCAGTTAGCTTTAGCAAGAAAACAGCGAATGCTTTATAAAAGCGGTGGATGGTTATAAAAGATCATCACCAAGTAATTTCAGGTCTTACTCCGCTTGACCTGTGGAATCAGCGGAGATATTGAGCTGATGCAAATTGTCGACGAATCTCATCTGTTGGCCATTGGTATTAAAGATCTGGAGGTTTCCATCCTCGTCCACTTTGCGGAATCCTACGGCACAACAGCTGCCATACTATAGAGAAAGGATAGGTTAGCAATGATGTAGATGAGATATTGTTTAAATATTCTAGTTACAAAAGGGGAGGTTAGTATACTTACAAATCCATTACAACCGCCATGAAGACAGTCGCCTACAGCGCACCAGTAACAACCGGGAACACAGCAATAGGTCTCCGGGTCTCGTGTCTCAAGCGAAGGCTCTGGAATGGGTCCAGCATTGACGAGAGCTAGAGGAGCGCTGAGGATGGCGCCAACGAGGTAAGCTACAGTAGAGAACTGCATTGTGAGTGAAGTTAAATTGCCTGGGATGTCTGCGACTTGAGTTATTTTAGAGGTGAACAGATTTATTTTCGGATATGTGGTTGGGTTTGTTGACAGGAATCTACAATAGAGAAGATGAGGGAAAGAATAAAATTATCTTCCAAGCGACGTTTATATAGATCTTCGTAGACAATCTCGTTCTGCCTCTGTTGTGATACGACTGAAATGTTCGGAAACATCCCTATCGTTATAAGAGTAACTATAGAAACATTTTGGAACAGACTACCAATTCACTTACAAGATCTTTACTTGAATCATTAGTAAAACGGGGAAAACAATTGTATTGTTACCCGAAGAAATACAAACCTATTAAAGATGGAAATATCACACTTACAAGCTCTTTGTTTTGGTTGGTTGTCTGTGGCCTCGGCTTTGGAATAGTTAGACAGTAATTCACTGGCCGACTAAAGATTATTTAGCTTATCCGAGTAAAGGACCATGCCTATCTATGCACTTAGTAACTATATTCACTACTTATCGCTGGGTAGTCGTATTGGACGCCGTGTAAGTGAGTTGGAATTTTACCAGGAGTGACTAACGGAGTAAGTCATTATGAACGCCAACCTGTGTCTAACAAGCTTAATCTGCTTAGATGCCTACAATACCTATCTCGGAAACATTTCTAGTATACCACCGATGAGCAAGGTCTAAAATAAAAAGAATGTTTGAACAATAATTGCTATCCAAGAAAAGGGGGACTTGGCTGCCCAAGGATGAGATGAGACTAGTCCTTCAACTTAATTGTCCCGTAATCGAGAGAAAAGACTCACTTACAATGTAAAAGTGTTAATAGAAACATTCATTAAACGGGTAACTTACCCGGCAGATTATTGAACGCAAATTCAGACGCACTGCTTCTTTCACATACACACACACACACACACACCTACTCCACAGTTTACAATACAGTAAACATACTGTACACATTCACAATTCATACCTGTTATAACTAACATGGAACTCAACCACATCCCACCACCACAATCCAGACCATCCAGAACCAACCAGCAAAGAAACAAACAATGTCCTCGCAAGTACCCACACCTCGACAATTCCTAACATCCCTAATAGAAAGCCTAAACTCAATCCCTACTCCCACTCCCACTACCCCACAACCTAACACAACAACCGGAACCGGGAACCCGCTGAAGCTCGTCCCGCCGGCGCACCGCCCGCTCCTCACCACTTTATACGCGCTATACCCGTTGACTCTCCTACCAGCCTTAGACTTACTAGACAGACGTCTCGCAACGCGCATCATCATCGCGCCGCCCTCCCATCATCAACAGGGAGGCGCAACAACAACAACAACACCAGCACCAGCACCACCACAACCCCCCGAAGAAAAGGGGCAGCCACCAAGCCATCATCACTCCTTCTACATAGTCCGCTCCGCGCAACCCCAACACCCCCGGCGCGACACCGCCTCCGCCTCCGCCCCGGGCCCGCGGTACGTCGTGCGCCTCTCATCCTGGAACTGCAGCTGCGCCGCCTTCGCCTTTGCCGCGTTCCCGCGGGGCGAGGACCGCTACGTCATTAATACCGCACCCCGCCAGCCCTCCAAAGACGACGCGCTGGAATGGCAATTCGGGGCTCTGAGCCTCGACGGCGTCCAAGGAAGCGGGATCGCCGGGGTGCCGTGCTGCAAGCACTTGCTGGCGTGCGTGCTGGCTGAGAGGTGGAGTGCTGTGCTTGGTGGGTATGTGGATGAGAGGGTTGTTGGGAGGGAGGAGGCTGCGGGTTTGGTGGCGGATGTATGAGGAGGTAGGTAGGTGTGTATGTCGGAAGGAAGGGTCGTTTTATGACATGACATGGTGAATGATGAATGAAGTGACGAGTATTTTATCCCTAGGAAGGGCTATAATGTAATAGCGTATAAACACCGGCATACAACTATCGCCTATGAGGAAGTAAGGCTTAGGAGATAAAATGATGCCTTCATCAGGGATTAGCCCCTGGTCAGAACTCTATAGATTTGCATGCATGAGGTATCCCCAACCTCGAAATCAGCTCTCGTCCAAAGAGTATTAATGTACAGGGGTTGCAGTAATTTGGTATTCCATCTACTCATAAAAGCTTTGCTATTTCTTCTTTTCCTTGTCGCTACTCTTCTCCGTAGTCTCGCCACCGACGCCGTTAACGCCATTCTCCTTCTTCTCCTTCTCGTCTTTCCCTGCCGTCGCGGCAGCTTCTTCCTTTGCCTCCTTCTCTTCCTGCTGTTGTCGGTTCTGGATCTTGTTCTCGATTAAGTCGTGGAAAGCCGTGATGGCCCGGATTAAACTGCTTAGGTAGATGGCGAGAAGCTGGTCGTTCGTCTTGACGCTCATCGCATAAGATAGCTCACCCACATTACCGCTCTTTCCATCAACACCGGGCTTGGGTGTCGATAGGTTAGGTAAGAGGTTGAAGATATCCTGGAGGTTTCCTAAGACGGCATGGTTCACTGGTAATTTACCATCTTGAACTTTCTGAAGGTACGCTTGGATGTCACGTAATCGGAGGTGTAGTCCTTGTAGCGATTGCAGCTGGTTTGTGATCCGCGTCGACAGAGTGCCAATAGCTACGTCGCGAATATCTCGGAGCAGGTGCTCGACACCGATCTCCTCCGCTTCCTCGGCCTCGATGGTGGAAGGTGTATGTACGAAGGTCTTGGATGTGGTTGTGCCGTCCTATTCATCCTTATATTCAGCATTTGATAAACGGTGTCAGTATAGAACTACTTACGTCCTTAATCTCCTCTACCGCGAAGTACGCATCCGTCGGAACGCCAGACTCCTTAGGTTGGACGTCGATGATGACCAGTAGCGGGTTTGGTGTATATCTCTTGAAGAGTTCGTTGATCTGAAGGTCAGATGCGCGCAGCTTAGGTCCTGAGTGGTACCAGCCTATTAACTTCTCTCGGGCGTTGACCTTCTTGAACATGTCATTCATATTCTCGACGTAGTTGTGATCTAAGAACCAAACGGACGGATCATCGCTGTCTTCCTCGAACGGAACTATATAAAGCATATTAAAGGTTAGTGGTGCCGACGTAGGCGACATAATGAGGAGTAGAGATTAATGCGACTAACCTGCGAAGCTGTTTGACACTCGTACATTTTTTCCATCGTTCTGACCCAATAGCACACCGACGACTCGCTTCCGCGTGCCTTTTGCTACCCGATTGAAGTGGTCTACGACGGAGAGGAGGACGAGAGGGGCAACTGTAACATTTTTATTGACGAAAGAAAGGGTCTCGGCGGTTGTGGCAGGCATCTTGAGGAAGGGGAATAGGGAAATTGAGAAACAGAATGGAATGGGGGAGCTTGGTATACTCAAGATAAGCGAGCTTGATGGAAGTTGATAAACAGATAGAAAGGCTGTCGTATGTGAGGCTGCCTTCGTTACGAAATCCCGGCAAGCTCAGCTCTTGATTAGGATTAGTGCGGAATATGTTATGCACAGACCCCCACTGACAAGGCTGATGTAATACCTAGGTCAGTTGTTTCCACCTGAGCTTTTATGTAAGAGTTGGAGCGATTCAATCTATGGAATAATTACATAATCGCAATGTGGCTGAAGAGTGGCTTGTTCTTTACTGTGCGGGTGGCTAGTGGACCTTGATGAATGCCCGAACCTTTAGAAATTTTTTTCGTTCGTGGGGTTGCCACAGATACAAATACACGGGCCATGCGTTTCGTGGCGCCAACAAGAGCACAGCCCGCCTTCACGATAGGTATAGTCTGAGTTCACTAAGATAACCTTTAGATACCCTAGAAGTTCTATAATAGTTTCAACATTTTAACGGCACAATGATAATAGTATATGTTTGCTACTAAGCAGGGAGGGTCATATGAACATTCATTAGACTAGTGAATCCTTCCGGCTGACTGAGGTATATTCCGTATTATACCTATTCTGACAACTAAGGACGAGCGAGCCTAGGTATCCGCTTGGCCGAATACTTGGAAAATCACGAACCGATGCTGGTCGTTGCTTATTCTACTACCGTACGGATTAAAAGCCGTTTGAATGAAACTCCTTAAATGGTATAAGAGTAAACCGATTATTGGAAGGTATCATAACAAGGAATATAATCAATTTCATCGCTAGTTACATCTAAGTCAAAGAATCTAAAATATCGTCAACCTCGGCGGTCCAACGGAAAAAAAGAATAGTAATCCGACTTTCACTTAGGTCCGGAGAAAAATAGCCGAACCCCAAGCAAAGCACCAAGACAAAGCTTAACCTAAACGGGTAAGACGGTGAAGCTACCCTTAAGCTAGTGTACCTCGGTGCGGTAAGCTAGAAATTACATACTGGCAGGTTACTGGCAGCATGCCGCTAAAAAGCAACGAGATGTCTCCACTCTATACTGCCATCCGTGGGTATGGGTCCTTCTATGCCTAGGCTGTAGCGACGGTTGTTATTCAGTTGTCCATTGTCCCTTCAGCCACTGGGGGGCCCCAATTGCCCCGAGCTCCAGTCTACCGATAAACATCCAGTACGGGGACGGGGACGGTGAGCGTTTTTTCCTTTAGTCCCCTTTAGCAAATCGCAATTGAACGTGGCAATTTGTTCCTTGTCCGAAAAAATTAAAAAAGTAGAGGTGGTCGTTCCGTCTTCGAGTTACAATTCTTGAAGAAAAGAATATCCCGATTCCCGACTCCCCGACCTCGCTGCACCGCTGCACGCTGCACGCCGCACGCCGCACGAGCACCACCAAATTTCCAGAGCTTCTAACACCTGGCAACCTTCTCTGCCAACCTTCAACTTACTACGCTCTTCTCTTTATCTTCCCTACCGGAATTTCCGTTGCTTTCTTTCCTTTTTTATTATATCACTCACTCACTCATTCTTTTGTGACCTGACCCGTCGCCTTTCCCTTACCTAGCCTTGGTCTGGCTCAATTGATTCGTTTGAGCTGTTTAAAATGGGTGTTATCGACAATGAGATGAAGCGGTTGCAGGACGTTGTGTCCAGCCTAGAGGACCGCGTACGACGTCTAGAACAGCGCCAATCCGGCGGAAGTAATGAAAGCGTGCGCATGATCCTTATGGGCCCTCCTGGAGCTGGTATGTCATTAGAAGAAAAAAGAAAAAAACCATTTTGGCCGAGATATTGGTCTTAGATGAGCGTTGCGCTAACTGCGACTTGACAACTTTCAGGAAAGGGAACTCAGGCGCCCAAGATCAAGGAGAAGTTCTCTTGTTGCCATTTAGTAAGCGCCGACACATTCTAAAGCGCTATTTTCATGCGAACGTAAATTACTAACAGCCGTAAAAAGGCTACCGGTGACATGCTTCGATCCCAAGTCGCCAAGAAGACGCCTCTTGGAAAGGAAGCGAAGAAGATCATGGATGCCGGCGGTTTGGTCAGCGATGACATCGTCATTGGTATGATCAGGGAAGAACTTGACAACAACAAGGAGTGCAAGGGAGGGTACGTTCTTTTTTTTCGCGCTCTTGTAGCAACACCTTTTTTTTTTCTTTGGCTCGTAGCCAGAAAGATGTATCGAATTCCAACGTCGAACTCGACTGACCTTGCCCTAGCTTCATCCTTGACGGTTTCCCCCGCACTGTCGCCCAAGCCGAATCGCTCGACAAGATGCTTGCCGAGAAGAACCAAAAGCTACAGCACGCCGTCGAGTTACAAATTGACGACGCTCTCCTAGTTGCGCGTATTACCGGTCGTCTAGTGCACCCTGCCTCCGGTCGAAGTTATCACTCCACCTTTAACCCCCCGAAGGTGCCTATGACGGACGATGTCACCGGCGAGCCTCTGATCCAGCGATCCGACGACAACGCCGATGCGCTTAAGAAGCGTCTGGTTACCTACCACCAGCAGACTTCCCCAGTTGTCGGATACTATAAGAACACTGGTATCTGGAAGGGCGTTGACGCCAGCCAAGAACCTGGCCAGGTTTGGACCAGCCTGTTGAAGATTTTCGACGAGAGCAAGAGCCCTAAGAGCGGTGGTATCTTGAGCAAGCTGACTGGCCAATAAGCCAGCGGCTACTCTTGTCTTTGCCTTCCGCTCTCATCCTAGTTTCCTACGATTCGGATCTAGGAGATAAGATGTCGGCATGGATATAGGAGTTTCCAGCATGAGGCGTCAGGCGATCATCTAGAAAGGCGTCATTATCGGAATGTGACGGAGTGGGAAAGGGGTATTTGGAGCCCAGGGCGCCTAAGGAGTAATGATGGGATGAAAGGGGGTACCTATGGAAATAACGCGCGACTTGTATCATACGACTTGCATGTACCATGGCATCATGAATTAAGCCTTCTAAAAGACCCTGAATCTTGCGTCTCCCTGAAAGTTAGCACTAAACTTGGGTTCAGCCTGTAGATAGAAAACGCCATGTTTTCCCAGCATCATATCTCTTCCCATTCTATGCTGAACAATGGCCATTTTTCAGAATCGATGACTACCGACTCATACTTCAGAAAAGATCTCGGTATAATGTAATATTGAGCTTTAGCTTTAACGGGGTAAGGTTGGATGACTAACTGCCCAATTAAGGAGAATAGCTAATAGTTGACATTTTTAAACAAGACAATAAACGTCAAAGCTTAGCTTAAGAGTAACGTAAATAATGTAACTACTTAGGTAGAGATAGTTATCTCTTTCATCGTTCGAATTACGAAGCATACAAATAAGTAGGTATAAGAGTATGAATATGTAGTTACGATAAATATCCGAAAGTATTCGTTGATTTCTATATTGTAGAGACTATACACATGAATACGACTCTATACAGTATAGTCTATACTCGTTACCAACTTGAAGCGAAAAGCGGTCTCCAATCCCATGAGTCACTTAATACCATTGCGACATATGCAGGATCCAAGATAACATCGAATAAGATCGCTTAGAGGTCACATATATAAGAGAGTATAGCCCTATATAGGAGAGTATGGCCAGCTTCATTGCATTTACGAATAATCCATTCAAAGTCTCAATAATACATACATAGGTACCTATATATATTATATGTATGTATATTATATAACTAAACCAACAGCGAAAAACGTTCTTCTCATAACCAGACACCCCAACCATGGCCTTAACATTCACCACCTTCGACGTCTTCACCAAGACGCCTTTCCGCGGCAACCCCCTCGGCATCGTCTCCGTGCCAGCAGACGCGCAACAGCTCACCCAAGACCAGAAGCAGCTCATCGCGCGCGAGTTAAACCTCTCCGAGACGGTCTTCCTCCACGAGCAGACCCCCGCCGACATCCGCGCCCGCACCGCCCGCATCGACATCTTCACCCCGCGAGCCGAGGTCCCCTTCGCCGGCCACCCCACCGTCGGCACCGCAAACTACCTCCTGCACCACCTGCGCCTCGGCTCCGCCAAGATCCTCGGCACCCGCGCCGGCCCCGTGCCCTTCTTCTCCCAAGCGGACGGCGCACAGGTCGCCGTCGCGCATAACTTCCACATGCACAAGGCGGCCGTTCGCGGCCACCCCGTCGTCAGCATCGTCAAGGGCATGACGGCCGTCATGGCGCGGGTGCCCGACCTCGACGCCTTGCGCGCGCAGACGGCGAACCTGGTCGGCGCGGAGAACACGTTTGCCGCGGCGGCGGCGGCGCTGCTGGACGAGGGCTGGCGCAGCGGGCCCGTGGTCACGTATTTCTACGTGGACATGGGGCGCGCGGCGGACGGGACGACGACGACGACGCGCAAGTTGCGAGCGCGGAATCTCGGGAGCCGCGAGGATCCGGCGACGGGGTCGTCTGCGGCGGGGCTGTGCGCGATGCTGAGTTTGTTGGAGGATGGAGGAGAGGGGGACTCGACGGGGTCGGCGACGCGGTCGTTCGAGATCACGCAGGGCGTGGAGATGGGGCGGCCGAGCGAGATACGGGTTCGCGTGACGCTGAATGCGGCGCGGGATGGGATCGAGGAGGTTTTGATTTCTGGGGATGCGGTTAAGGTTTTGGAGGGGACGGTGCCTATACCGTCTCCTGAGACGACGGTTAAGCCTGAGTAGAGAAAATGATAAGATGAGTAGGTAGGTTTATAGATACGTGATACTACTTTGGAGCTGAGTTATTGTTTATTATAGCTTTGTCTTGGCCATTAAATGAAGCGAATATACATACGGTGTATAGAAGTAGGCCGTATATATGTCGTTATTAGCTATTTCGCTGGGATGTTTTATTAAATCTCCAAGAAAGCAGTCGGGAATACCAGCACACGACGAAAAGCGTATCTTTAACTCCTCGCCTATGCTCCCTAACTTAGCACATATACCCTCTAAGCAAACCAACCCAACAAACAACCATTATAAAGACAAAGAATAAGTAACGAAAATAACACTTAAATTTTCGCAGAGGATATCTAACTAGGTACCTAGTAGGCCAAACGCAAAGTCTACTCTGATCTAAACAAACATAGTCTCGATATGTATTATGCTATAGGGGGTAGTCGTTCCGCGAGGTGAACCCAACTCTATCGCCAACTAAGCAGCTCTCTTACAAAAAGAAATATGAAGAGAAAAGAAGGTGGTATGATTAGGTAGGGTAGGTAGGTATGTATCTTCCATTACCCGTCCGTAAGACGAGCTACGTACCTAGGTAGGTAGCAAACAGCCAGTCCGTCCCTCAACGCCAGACCATCGTTCACGTCGTAATCATACAAAAGAAAGACATAACGAAGATATACCAGAGGGAGTGCGCAACAGCAGTAAAAGTAAAAGTTATTGACAATAGAAAAAAAAGAATTTAAATCCAACGCCTTTCCATTAGGTATTTCCCCCCTTGCCTCCCTGCCTCCCTCCCTCCCTCCCCTTTCCGGAGGACAACAACGCCGATGGAAATGCAGATATTGACCGAGCTGTGAATAGCCGCCGAACGCCTCGCTTTTAACCCGAAGCCTCTGCAATTCATTTTCGCTTGCCAGATTACCTCACCGCCGTAACTGTAACTACACTACACTACACGTGTAAGTTGGCCCAAGGTAAGGTAAGGTAAGTCCCGCTAGGCGGATCGCCCCTTAGCAGCTCGAGCCGCCGGCGCGCTGACGTCCCTCCTGTCGCCCGTTCCCGACATCATCTGCCTCCGGGGCGTGGCTAGGCCCTGCGCAGCACTCCTAGCTCTACCGCGGCGCTCTCTAATCTGCGCTAGCGCTTCTTCGCGCGTCATTGTTGGTGCCAGGGTCGGGTTGTTGACGTCGAATGACGGAACGCGGTTTTGGTTAGTTGGTTCTCGGATGGGAACTGTCGTGGTAGTGGTTACCGTGTAGAAGGCTGAGGTACTGTGAGGTCGTGTATCCTCGTCTGGTTCCATCTCAGCTTTTGGGCGGGCTGCTTCTTCGGCATCTTCTTCCGAGTCTGAGCGATTATGACCTTCTAGCGGTATGGTCGGGATATCCATCATAGGGTAGTTAGAATCGCTTTGACGCGGTGCGTTGAGGAGTGAGAGGAGGGAAGTGCGCTCCTGCGCCATCAAGGCAAATGTTGGAGGCTCGACGGATGGAGTTCGAGAATAAAAAGAATGGTTTGGTGGAGGATCTTTTGGGGTCGTTGGCTCGCAAGGGGAATCCTCAGATTTCTCTATTGTGCGTAGGTCCTGCTGCGAGATGGTCCTGAAGATCCCCTCAGAAGGAACAAAAATAGTAGAACGTCGGGGCTCCTTTCGTTCTCTCGGTGCCTCCTTTTGTACAACACCCTCTACCTTCGATTCTCTCTTCTCTAGTGGCGGTAACTCTTGTTCTTGTTGTTCTACTTGCTCCTGCCCCTGACCTTGATTGTACTCCGAATTCCTAGATTTAATAGAGATAGGCTGCTCTACGGACTTGGGCTCCTGGCCTAAAATCATAAGGTCTGCCGGGTCCACAATCGTAACTGGTCCAGCCCGCTCTTGACGTGCAGAGGCAGCCAGACTTCTCCGCGGGCGAGACTTTGCGCAGGAGCAGCATCGCAGTTGACACTCGGCCTGTACGAACTCCAGATGTTCTTGGGCTCGGTCAGCTCTTTGCTTCTCCCATTGCCATAAACGTGTTAACTCTTCGATCTCCTCTTCACTCGCAGCTGAGGAAAGGATATCAACCGCCGACAAAGAAAAACGTCCCTTTTTAGGCGACGCGAATTCACTATCCGGATCCTCGGGCGGGAGCGGTAGACGCCCCTCGGCGGCAATCCTAGCAATCTCTTCGCTCTTGGCGGCTTCCTTGTAGGCATCGCGCTCCTGTTCGACGAAGGCAATTCGTTCGAGAGCCTTCTCTAGTTGCTCTTGTATTTCGGCTAGTTGGTAACGGGATTTAAAGGCTTCCTGCTCTCTAGCCTTGCTAAGATCCTTCTCCCTTGCAAGGGACTCTTCTACAGATTTGCAAGAACTTCGGGCCGCTTTGAGTTCTTCTTGTAGCTTAACAATAGATGACTGTGTCTTGAAAACTTCCTTGCGCGCGTGTCGAATTTCCTTCTCCCAAATCGTCTTGCTGTGTTGGAGAGTTTCTTTCGCTTGTCCATATTTCTCCTGTTGATTAACTATTAGCGCAAGAACTTTACCAAAGATAAACAGTGTTTTGGTTTTAGTAAGCTTACCATAACATCTTCTAACCTTTCGCCTACTTTGCGCTCTCGACCGCGGCTCTCTTCGACTTGTCGTCGCAGAGCCCGAGCCTCTTCACGATAGCGGCGCATCTCAGCTTCTGCTTCTTCGCGTCCTATCATGGCTCGTTTTAAGGCGGCGTCGGCCGTCTTTCGTTCAAGTTGCCTAGACATGGATGCCGCGCCTCCGGGGCCAAGGTGCGCCAAGTTGTTGAACTGACGGATCTTGTCGTGTACGTCGCTATCACGAAGGTGATCGGACTTGGTGGGAGACGGAGGGGCGGCTTCGCGCTGTTGATTAACTTTGTCGGGAGATGAAGGCTGGAGTGCCGCACCAGGCGAACCTGGCACGCTAGACGAATTTTCGACGTGAATCATTTGTTTACCCGCTTGCACTTGCGGATTTGTATAATAGGTACAAGATAGATTAAATGTTATTCTGAAGAAGATGCGATTATGTGCAGCATTGGGGTTTGAAAAGCCAGCTTAAAGTTGTGGAATGTGTTAAAGATTACTGTGCATTGAGCAGTGATAAGTGCAGTGCAGTGATAAGTGGAGGTGACAACTTAGAAATCTGGTGATAGCGGGTTGCCATGTTTATCCTCGAGATAAACGCGTTGCCAGGTCAATAGATGCGGAGCCACGTGATTGCTTGACGGTTATCCAACGGTCCGAAAAGTCGCACAGCAGCTGGAACAGGCGCATTTTGACCCCACATATTCCATTCGTCGACCGTTAGCACTAATTATGAGGTACCTAGGTACCTATGTTCACTAATTTTATTCTCCCCTCTTCATTATTGATCTACCATGCTGCCATGATGCTGTGCGGCGAATGATCCCGACTTGAATCGTGTAAGTGCATTTAGTTTTACTAATTGCAGAACAGAACACAAAAACAAAAGGCACTAGATATAGTGTATTGGGATCGAAAATATATTTATCTCCTCATACAGGTCATTAAACACGACTCGGTTTTGTACCATTTTGTCCGCGCCTTTTCCCCAGCTGTCCCTACGTGTACACCTCCACTTTCTCTTCTCTCTTCGTGAACATCTCGGCTATCAGGAGTAAGACAAAAGTTAATGATAATAAACCAACAACACGACCGAATCGAAGTCCCACAATCTCGGTAGACACGACTCGCCCGACGCCGAATACTCTTCCCAAGCGCGAGGATGAGAAGCGAATGTGAATGCCTAAAGTCCAAGCCACATATGCCCATAATACAGCCTCCCCAAGATTACATGGTAGACAGACTACTTCCCAACCTGACTACCTGAAGCTTCCGGTTGGAAAACCGATGACAGAGAAGAGATGCATGGTATCAAAAGAAAGAGACTATGCCGAGGATCGCCCCCTATTCCTATGTTAAGCGTTTTTGTTCTTCGGTGATATTTCAATTGTTCACTCGGCGGGCTGTTTCATTGCCTGTTTCCTTGGCCTGTACCTTGCCGGCTCGGAGCAGGTCGCCGATCCAGGTGAGCGCTTCGCTTGTAACGACGAGGCCAGCCGAGACGAGCGCCTTGCTGGATGCTACTAGGCCATCACCTCCAACCTTTTTATACTCGGAGTTGTAGATGTCGAAGACGTGGTCCTTGGTTTCTAGCCCTTTGCGGACGGGGAAGAAGAAGAGGTTTACACCATCACTCCACAGCTCACCGGTCGGTTTCTTTAGGACGGGAAGACGTTCGTCGATTTTGCTTAGGGCACCCTCGCCGATCTGGTCGGCCTTCTTAATGTAAGGAGAGACATATTGATACGGCTTGGAAAGGTACGGAAACACCGGCTTAGCCAAGGTTTTATAGGCGGTATCACCCAGCTCTATCGACTTTTGGCCATAGGGATTCTTCTTAATGAAGGCAATGCTGTCGTTGACCACCGGGTATTCCCTGATGTGCTGCTGCGACGTTAGTTCCGGTCCTATCTGAGGTTTAGATGGAAGCGCGGCGAGCTTACCGACAGAGTCGCGGACGATGGATGAACCTCGCCGTTAACCTGAGCAGCCATCGTTGGGCTAAGTCACCTAAGTAGTAGGAGAGTAGAGAGATAAAAAAAAATATCGAGGAAGGGAAATGGATAGAAGGAGCTCAAGGGCGAGCGCTAGTGTAGGTAAGTTGTTGGGTCACAACGATGGTTTGTTTAGGGAGATAGAGGAGGGAGGGGATGAAATAAGGTGAAAGAAGAAGCTTAATCGAGGCTTATTCGTTCGCAGGATCAAACGGGATAAGATTGGGTGGGATGAGATGAAATAGTGTAAGGAGAGAGAAGGAGGGAAGTCGATCAAGGTTGAAGAAATCGGCGACTAATAACTTAAAAGATGAAGTCCGTTAAAAGGCAAAAATGCGGGATGAAACAGGCATAAGGCATAGTCAGGTGAAATGGGATGCTTTTAAAACAATAAATAGTTCAGCTTGACGATGTCCCGGCGCGAACATTCTTTTTTAGCATGTGCTTCCCTCCTTTGCCTTATCACATTAGGTACATACATGTAAGAACAGTCAGTTTTTACATGTATTGTACATCATACACATGTTAGGTACTTACATGGTTATCATACACTCTACCTAACATGGCAGAGTCGCATTACGCCTTCGTGTTGGGTATATGGTATATGTAAGTAGGTATGTAGTGTAAGTAGAATTGCCGCCATTCTTTAAGGTCCGTTATTTGACGCATTCCACGCCGTTGAACCAATGAAGTCACCAGCGCTGAACTCGTTTGGTTCCGCAGTGTTTCTAGCGGGTCTCTAGCTATCGAGCTTTACACACTAGCAGCTAAAAGCTGTAAGCTTCGGATGCGGTACCTGGATGCCTGCCGTAGATCCGCTGGCGGGTCAAGTACACGTCGGAGGGGCGATAACATGTGTCACAGGCAAGATATAAGCTATCTATGCCGCTTGAAGTTACTGATCCCGGTGAACTTACAGGGGGTTAAGAAAGAATTATGTTAGGTCGGTATTTGTACAGTACACCGTACACGTAACGTATACACTAGAGGACCCCCCCTGCCCCCATGGCCCATGGCCCCCTCCAGCCTACATTAGGTACGTAGTACATATGTAATCTTTACCCCTGTCATTTGACATGTGAAAGATTCGGAACTTTTCTTTACCTCTCACCTTTACACCACTACACTACTACTATCCTATGGCATTACTGGCACCTATGTATGGTACAACATCTATCTACACATACACTATTCGCATTCGCAATCACTATCCTTGTTCCTATCTATCCGTCTTCTTCGGTTCGCCTATCTTAGATACGCACGCGCGTTATGTACTCGGTTACATTCCTGTACCTTTTATCGTGAACCAGCTTGAGACATGAACTGCCTTATCCTTATAGGACTATGTACATATCACACCGGTATGTAAGGATCTCGGAAAGGCACATCAAGATCTTATTAGCACCGTGCCCTCTCATTATGTAAATGTTTTGTTTTAAAGGTTGCGTGTCCCATCCAATCCGACCCGAGTTTCGATTATAAGCACACCGGATGGGAATTTCTTTGATATAAAATCGAGCCAAGACCGACCATATTTGCATCAAGACACCGTCATATGCAATGCTTACATTAACTATACCTTCTTACCAAATAGATAGCTATTGTGGGCAATTCGCTCGCAATTGATCCTTCGCTAGGTGAGCTCGGCAAGGATAAGTCCACCCTTCGGCGAATGAAAACGTGGCGGCGGCACGCCTTGATTTCGAATGGGTCGGCAAGTCCCTCGTCTTGAACGGTCTTAAACCTTAGGTACTTTCTAGCATATGAACTATGAACTACGAACTACGAGCTACTACATTTCATTACTTGCCTAAGCGCCGAGGCATCATTAACTCGCATCTAGTATAAACTTCCTTTCCAAGACCTTGGACAAATTTCCGGAGGCGTGCCGTATCCATCGTCTTGGGAGCCTTGAATGGTTTTCAAATATTATTATCAAGTCCAGATCCATCTATTATTCGCAAAAACTTCCAACAACCTCGGTTCAATCAAGATGATAGAATGATAATCAAGCCATTCGCCACTTGTCGTCTGAACCACTAAGAGTCTAAGACCGAGGGGGGGCTTTGTTTGCAAGCATCGCCGTAACTCGTCGGGGGGCTATCGAGTGATCCAGGGGTTCTTTGATGGATACCGATGGAACCTGAAGAGTTGCGCGATTCCGATGCTGCATGATAACTTGCCTGTCTCTTTCACGAGATTCTTATTGTTAACTAACCTAGACTATTAGTACATACATACATATACACCATGGTCCATTATCTACATACATATTGTACAATACTATAAGCCCCACTTCAATTTATATCTCACGATCCATCATGTCAACTTTCACATGTCAAAAAACCCCCACGAGGCTACATACATTCAAACGAATTCGCGGTCTCACAAAAAAAAAAGAAATTCGATATTTTCTCGTCATCCCGCGACGCCACGTTCCGCCAAAAGGGATGCCAAGAACGCGCGTCTATCTACCCATGCTCCTGGGACAGATTCAGCAGAAACGATCGATTAACCTAGCAGCCTAGGTCCTAGGTATATCAATCCTCAAGCAGTACGTATTGACTATCAACGAAATCATTATTAACTACTTGGCGATCTCCTAAACCTGTTTACAAGACGCAATCCCGACCTTCCCTGTCAAGTTGCCATGAAGACCGTTGGAATACGAGGACGGTCAACTTTAATCATGGACATCAGAGCCGGAGCATGCTAATTACATGCTCTAGCGTGAACCATATGACCGGTAAAGCGTAGACTGAACCAGCATCCACCGAAATTTCAGAAAAGAATCTAGACTAAAACACTAAAGAGTGACTGGTGATTTTATAGTCCACCGCCATATCTTTAATTTTGATATAATATAACTATCGATGAATATCCAAATCATCTCAATATGAAAACGAGACCGGATTATCCGCACGAAGCTTTATCGGTGAGGTTTCACGGCGTCGACTCCTCGTTGGTTCGGATTAGAAAAAGCCCAACTATATCCGTTCGCGTTTGATGTACGAGATGTACGACAGAGTCGGTTGCTGACGCAAGATCGTGTTAGGTAACACAAAGGCTTGTCCGTACCACTACTTTGGTTTTCATTTTGCTGGTAACAGGGTTAATTACCTACATAACTACCTGGGTACCAGGTCGAGATAGCTCGGCTAGAGAAGCTATCTATACCAAATGAGCGGCATTCAGCCCCTGGAATAGACAGGCCCTTCACCACTACTGCAGGTAACAGGTAGACATCCTAGGGCCGTTCTAGCTTCCTTTGTCTTCGTGGGGTTTTAAGTTACCTATGAGAACGGGCGATTCCCTCATACCAACATATATGATATCGCTATTAAAGCCCAGTTCGAGTCGCACAGCATACAAACTTCGAAGCGAACGAAGCCCTCCGCATTCTAACTCGCCCCCGCTCATGCGAAGTACGTGGCCTTCGGCGTGATGTCTACTACATATCATCATAGAGTATATGGTCTCTATGCCGATTAAGCCGGATGTTTGCTGTATATCACATTAGCGAATTCGACCGCTCTAGTGGCCAAGGTTTTCACGGTATTATTCACGGTATTATATGCTGCTCAGTTGCCCCCAAGCTTGGAAATATCTCGTGTATGACTCTTCCACTTCGTAATGAGCACGTAAACGCCGGTGATTAGCTTGAATGGCTATACTAATAACAGTTGGCAATACTCTTGTCCCCGGTACTCATCTTGTCCAGTAAAAATAAAAAAAATGGGATATGAATACCATGGTCAACTTTTTGCGAGGCATAGAGATCGAGTATGAATATTTCGGTAACATACAGAATAGGTATGTCATTGCATAATATTGAGTTCCTGATTAGAAGACAACGCAACGCGTCGGACCGGCACCACCTATACGAAGGCGGATATTATATTCATACGCGGGGTACATGACATGATACCGGGAATGCCCGCTGGCTGTCGTGCATCATAACTTCGGAGTGGATAGTTGCATGGCAGGCATCCAACCACGCAGTGCAGGATCGTTACTGATGAGGAATGCGGAGACGGCGGTCCGATGTGACGGGAACATGACGGCATATAAAACCGGGCATGAGAAGAGAAGCATCTAACCTAGAAAATACTCCGAGTGAGAGGCTTGATATGTGGCCATTCTCCCATCCCGCGCCGAGTATACCTGTCACTTGTACGCAAGCAGTTCTATAACCGCCTTCTCCATTTAACAAACATGGCAGGATGCATACGCCGTCGCTTACACATATGCTTCTCTACTCGATTAATGGAATCCAATAACGGGGATTGTGCGATGGTGATCGTCGGCGCATAGGTGCTACCTTAACATTGGCATACATAATACGTACATAATCAGGCTTACGAAATACAGCCGGGGAAGAAACAAAATGCACTGCTGGAACTTATAATATATGCGAGGATGTGGCTCAGGGGTTCCCATTGTCCAGCATTCCCGTGATATCCTCAGATCCTGCAAGTGTTATATATGCAATTACTCCAAGAAAGGTGAAGATTCTATGTCGATCAAGATGATACATTAGTTTCGACTTCCCAATGCTGAACTTCAATTGGACTTCAGGAGAGCCCTCCGCGCCACTGAGGGCTCTGTGCTGATCTACGGTAACTAGAACTTTCTGCAATGCATTTGGCTGTTTTGAGAAGCTGTCGTGAACACAATAGGGGAGGGGAACTCAACAAACTTACATTGTGGCGGTGGTTAACCCTAGCTCGGATAATCAGCTTCCTTCATTCTATCATACTGCTCAGTATAGGTAGGTAGGCAGGTATGCACATACCTCGCGCATTATCAGATCGCCTACAGCAGAGTCGCATTACAGCCGCTCCCAATTATATCAAGCCACATAAGGCCCATCGTCTGCTTTTAGCCTGAGACAGAGGGGTCAGGGTGCATAGCACAGCATGAGATCGACACTAGCGAGATCGGGGTTAACGACGACGGCTAACCTACGCGTGCGTGCGTGCGTGCCTGACTTAGCCGGGTTGAAACTTATATGTATGTATGTATGTATGTATGTATGAATATCTAAGTAGGATGGCCCGCCGGTCGAAGCTTCGACTGCGACGGTAAAATGCCACCTACGTAGGACCCCGACAGGCCGTCATGTCGCAGCCCGGAGTATGCCCGACATTCGAAGGTTCGTCCGGATATACATACCTACATACATACATACATGCATAAGAAGCAAGCCTTCCTATGCAATATTTCTGCTTGTCTCGCACGCCACGCCGACAAGGGCCGGAATTAGAAGGACGCTTTGGAGCCGAGGGGTTAAGCTACCTACATACCGATCAAGATACTCGCTTGGGCATGTCGATGGCTGCGTAGGAAAGGAAGTAACCTACGTCTGTATGAATACTGGAACGATATAAGACTACGGCGGCGTGAGGCTAGGAGAAACATGGGCTCTAATATACCTAACTGCCTACCCGGTTAGATAGTCATCCGAGTTTGCGTATTGCGGCGAGTTACGTACCTATTTATATCGCCGAATTTGTAATAAATCGGATTAAGTGTAGCTTAGATTAGACATCCTGTAGTATCAGTTATAGACCGTTATAGATGTGCAATTATTCAAGAGTATCATCCTGATAAATTCCTATTTTGGTGAGATATTACCTAGAGAACCTGCATTTGGTATGGATGTTGTGTAAGAAGCGTTCTCTTATTCTTTGTGTTACCATATGTATGTTGCGGTAGTAAGCTTTCTAATCTGACCTTATTCTAGGGGAGAGTAGTGGTAGTCTTGAGGAATAGAGTGTTCTTTGAGTCTTTAGTTAGGTAAGTCCTAAATAACTAATTCAGTAACTAGATATAAAGAAACATTTGTTATTGTCTATTTTTCGAGATTCATTCTCGATAGTTCTTTATAGTGATCATCATTGAACACTGTATTATGTGTCTAAGCTTCTAACCCTAACGATAAGTAAATTTAAAACTGGTTTCTCGGTATATAGGACGATCATCATGGGCTATTCCGAGAGAAGTTTAACTGCTAACCATGATAAAATCGAGAGTCTGACTACCTATAAGCTTCCAATAGCATTTTCTCATTCAATTATGCTGAAAGAACCATAGGAAATACTTCAAGTTTACAAAGATAGCTTGGGTAGTTCTTCTGATATGCTAGATTAGGTACTCCCGCAGGCACCATTAGTTTCTAATACATGTAAAATATTCCACCTAAGAGACTATACGATAAAACCCAGCATCGCGTTCTATAGTAGAAAGTAATAGCTAGCGACGAATCTACGAGCACCATGCATGAAAGCTCGTAGACGCCTTAAGTAGATGATAGCTAGGAGTTCAAGTAGTCCTCATACCATCTTACTCATGCTATACCCCTATTCTGAGCTTCCAGACGTTTTATTTGTCGTGAAATGTGTACCGCCCCTATCCTACCGCTACGCGTTGGTACAGCTATTACCATCTCCTACAGGTCACGAAAGAGTATCAGGACGTGAACTTGAGTATGAAGCTTCTAGCAATGATCTTCCATTTAAATTTTTATACTCTAAACCCCCCAATTAACTCTTCCATCCTTTCCAATTTCTATTTATTTTCCTCTAACCAGCGCCAAGTTCATGCATACCTCTTAGGTATCTATATATGCCTTTTTATGTATCAAATACCCCAGCCGTCTAGCAACAACGAGCCTCCAACTACCTACACCGCAGTCAACACCGCCCTAAGATGCACATCCCCGCGCTCCAACTTATCAATCGCCTCCCTGACGCCCTCTTCCGTCATAGGGAACGTCTCCGTAATCGGGCGGATGCCGTGCAGCGCCGCAAACGCGAGCATCTCGCGGTGGACGTTCCGCGACGCGACGAGCGACCCCTGCACGCCGATGCCGTTGAATATCAGCGGTATGTACGGGATCTCGAGGTTGCCCGAGTCGACGGAGAGCGGGTATATCGCGGACCCCGGAGCCATGATCGGCAGGATGAGCTCCCAGCTCGGCTGCGCCGACGTCGTCACGAGCAGCCGGTCGATCGGCGTCGATACCTCGAGCTTGTCCTTGCCTTTGGTGGAGACGAACTCGTGGGCTCCTAGCTTCATCGCTTGGTCCTTTTTCCTGTCCGAGCCTGATAGCACGATGACGCGGTTTCCCATCTTGGCTGCGAATTGAATCGCTAGGTGGCCGAGGCCGCCTAGTCCGACGACTATTATTCGGAGTTAATACTTTTTTTTTTTTTTTGGGTTTTTTTTTTTTTTACGTATCTCAGGGCGTAATGAGGGTGGGGGGAACTTACCACCAACGGTCTCAGTAGGCCGCGTATTATAAGCCTGCAGAACAGCAAACACCGTAGCGCCCGCGCACTGCAGGGGCGCAGCATCGACATCGCTCATGCCCTCCGGGATCTTATGCAGAAACGCCTCGCGGACGATGGCGTAAGAAGCAAAGCTTCCCTGGTCGACCTTATCGGTGCCGTACATAGCGCGGTCCGCGCAGTAGGTCTCGTTCCCCGTCAGGCAGTTCCGACAGTTGCCACAGCTGTCGTGCTGATAGCCGAAGCCCACGCGGTCGCCCTTCTTCAGGTGCTTGCCCTCTGGACCCACGGCCTCGACGATGCCGACGCCTTCGTGGCCGAGGATAACGTCATCGTGTAACTGTGGCTTTTTGTTAGCAACAATGGCATGTGAAGATGTGTAGGTATGTTTTCTACGAACCGAGTGGAGATCTGTCGAGACTTGTTAGTTCTTATTGCTCGTAGTACGTAAGATGGTAGGGGTACACGTCACGACTTACCAGTACCGCACAATCCAGACGCCGTTATTCTCAATAATACCTTGTCCCCAGTGAGGTTCTCTGGCTTGGTGGCAGAGCTCTTAGTGACCCCGTTTTTGGAGCCTTTGTAGACTGTGAAGGAAGTCATGATGGAAAGGGGGTAGTTAAGTTGTTTAGAGGAATTTGACTAGTTATTATAAGTTTAGTTATAAATTTAGGAGTAGAATGATAGCGGTGTTTGTTAAGATTGAGGCTTTTGAGCTGATGACTGAATTTTATAAATTTATATTCGAGATCCGATGTCCTTTTATATGTATCCATGTCAGCTCTGAGACATTTCGGTGTCTCAGCGCTTAGACCGTTGATATGTATCATTGTATGTGGCTCCCAAGGGGCAAACGCTGATTACGACTACTCATCGGTTTCTAATTCGGCGATAGGTAAAACGAGCACCCATTTCCTTATTTCCTTATTCAGAGATAGGTGAGCTACTATGTACGGTATTGTTTCTTTCCATTTCTTTTGTTTATAAATTAGGTATCTAGGTAACTATGCTTTACTAAGCTATAAATTAATGTCGTCGTATACTCACTCCCTTAATAAGTCAAAGTTTACGGCGGGTTGTAATTCTCCTCCGGCTTCTCCTTTAGGACTCGGGATGCGAGGGGTTAATTGTTAATCGGTAATCGGGCTGATCTATTTCCAGCTTGCGAGTTCTTACTAACACCCCGCATCCGCATCAATAGATAAGATTGATCTTTGAAACCTTATTGATCCTTTCCGAGCCTCAAAGTAACTCTGATGTCATATTTAACCTATTTAACCATGTGCATGTCTATAATATAAGATTCGGATATTTGGTTGCTTAACTAATCCACATGCATCGCGGTACTTTATTCCTACGTAATTCGTAGTTGTTTACCCTCTATGTCTTAGACAATGGATTGACTATTCAATATCGTCGGCAAGTCGATTACTGAGCAGTTTCCCGGATCATTACTAACCGGCACGTCAGTTGATTAGCCTTCAACCATTATTCACTTAAGTTGGATGGATGGTTAACCAGCCCATTACGCAGCCAACTATATCATTGCATTAAGTAGATATGTATGTAGGTACTATAGTATGTGAGATGGCATCATGTAATTTATAATTGGCTATATAAGTGCTTTTGTTGAAAATTCCCACCAACGCCTCACAGATACAGAGTAAAACATACATACATACATGGAAGTTAAATAGGAATAGATGAACCAAACTGACATCATTTCACAGCCATATCATTCCATACGCCTGGAGCACCTTGCATCCCATATGATAGTCGAAAGGGGTCAAGGAAATACGGTAACGGGAGGAGCCTCTTGGGATTCGAATGTCTCTATGCAGACATTCTATTAAGCTTACGCTTGCTGTTATCCGTATATCCATTGGGCGCCAGGGTCCCCATTCATCGTCGGCCAGGACAATGTTCCGAAGTTCCCGAAATCTTGATTGTCGAAAGTGAAGGCCATATCAATAGACCCGGCCAACATGCCCTGCATAGGTAAACCGGTCCCATCGTTATAACCCCAATCTCCAGCCGCCGTTAGGGCTTCGGTGGGGTTACCGTCGGTGAGTGTCTCGCCATTTGTAGCCTCCCAAGTACTTGAACCTAAAGGCGTCTCGTCCGCCTTCTGCACCGAATCTTGGTTGTCTTGTGTCTGCTTGATGAGTATATCGGCCTGTGCGATGACATCGCGCGTAATAGCAGCCGCACTAGCTGCACTTTTGATGCTCCTTTTCCAGATATCAAAGACAGCTATGGCGAGGTCAACAGCGTTTCTTGCCTCTGGGGTTGTCGAACTTTGTGGATAGGCAACCACATAACCGATGAGTGACATGGCAGCGTTCCACTGCCACTGAGATGCCTCATGCCAGCCGGTAAGGATAGATGTTGACGAGAGGACTTGATGCAGGATACGTGTCAGTGCTATAGCGTGGCGGGCGCAATCTGCAGCGATTCTGTCGGCAATTGGAGTAGGTCCTGCTGTCGGAGCAAAACGGACGAAGGGACGAAATAGGTTTATGCATAGATTGTGATACATAAGTTCCAATAGAAGACGTTGCCGCTGGAGCCAGAGCGATGCGAACTGTTCGATCTCGAGAGGCGTGAAGTCGGTGGAAAAGGGAACACCATTTCCCCCGCGTTTAGTTTTAAGGGCATTGGGGACACATTTCACCCAGTCCTCTATTCGGTCTATATAAGGACCCAGAAACTCCGCGTGGGATTCGATGATCTTTGGGTCATTCCGCGAAGCCTGGTCGTCGAAGATGCTGGTGGTACCGAGCTGCTTTTTGTAGAAGGCCGTATAAGTTATTCGGATCATCCGGAAGAGCTTAACGTTTTCGAGGTTGAAAGTTAGCCATGTAGCGTCCTCTCCGAGAGGAGCAAACACGGAGCCCGACAGCGTTGCGCATTCCCGGTCATCACCTGGTAGGCTACAAGTAGTATCGGAGTGATCTAGTTGGAATGGACGGCCCAGTTTCATGCTGATCTTACTATCAAAGACGTAGAGAGTCCACAATAAGCGCTTCCGCATTTCTCGCTCCCGCTTCGGCATATCTTCTGGCGGCTCTAGATGAAGGCCGAGCATATAAGCCGTCCGCACGGCCAGCGTACAGGTGCTATCTGACATGTTCGGGAAAGATGCAGAGCACAGATATACGGATGACAGGAGGTGGCACTGCAGCGTTAGTATGGTAGGATTCTCTAACTCGTTGGTTAATAACCTTTGGCAGCGTTGATAATACCATCGGCTACCAGCGATGATATCGTTGATGTCGTCCTCAAGGCCTGGCTGTAGCGCTGTGTTATATTGCATACATAAGGCAATGACTATGTCGACAAGCGCCGACGGCTTTCGCTCTCTGCCCGATGTTGTCCATAGGGATTGATAATGCTCCTTGAATGTACCTTCATCTAAAACTAGTAGTGAGGTGTGGAGAGACTGCCAGAAGAGACTTATGAAATATTCTTCCTGTGTCGGGGTTAAATAACTTCCTGAGATGGCGGGATCTCCTGTCACTGTAGTAGTCGGCCGATTACTCTGGTCTCTCGCAGAGGTTTGACTTGTCCCGTCGAATAGCTTTACTGGGTCTGGTAGCATGCGATCGATAGGCCGGGCTTGTTGAAGAGAAGTATTCAAGAAGGTGTTCATACGCCTGATGAAGTAGAATAACGACGAGGCACCATACCACGTTCCCTGCTGGGAGCGGGTGGTAGGAATATGTACCCCTTCCCTCGACTTCTTCTTCCCTTCCGGACTGTTTCCATGTTCCCCCGGAGAATCGAATGCTTCGGGACCCTCGGAGCCGGAAGGCCCTGACGAAGCGAGACTCGACGGCGTCTCAGGCGTATTGATGCCAGTGCTAGGTTTTACAGCAGCCTTACGTTCGTTCTCAAGTTCCCGCTCTAATTCTCTCACCCGGTTTTCCAGGCGCTCGATTTTCCGATAGGCGTGAGGAAGAGTACGGACAGGAATCTCCCCTTGACTGCACTGGCCATTTCTCTTCCGGCAATTCGAGCACGGGAGATGATTATCACATTTAATACGGTGTACACGGCACCAATCACATGCCCGAGCTACTTGACTCCGCTTCTGTCGAGGTTTGGGGGGTTGCGCCTCCGGAGTTAGCGGAGCGCTCGATTCGGTAGCACCCGCTGTCGTTCCAAGGAATGTGGTGAACATTGGCCTGTCAAATTTGACTTTTAAAATATGATAAGCTTAAGATGAAGACGCGAGGGATTGAAACTTGTAGGTAACACAACAGAACAGCAATGAACTTTAACCTAGGGGCGAATTTGAAAAGGCGAAACTAAACTAAACAGACTAAACAGGCGGGGACGGGGAACGGACGCATAACAATGGCAGTTACCTTCCAGCCTTCTCACTCAGCAACCAGGATGGGTGCTACGTAATAACCAAGAACCTCCTAGATTACCTAATATAACTAATACAAAAGGGGCTAATATTTAACCGCCATCAACAACGCCTTCCAATGCTACCTTAATTTTTTGAAATCTTTTTAATGTTTCGCCTTATCAGCTTATTAACTTTACACTAATCGACAACTAAAACCTTACTAGGATGCATACTTCACATCATTTATATTTCTATATTTAGACACACTAGGTATCTTAGGTACATATATGTACCTCTAAGGTACAATACAACTTGAAGCTCGTAATTCCAAGCACCCCATGCATAGAGAAATATCACGGGATTTCCACGTGACGCTTTAAATATAAAACCATCTCCAAAGAATCTTGACTACATGCCTCCTAACCTATATGCGTCGATTAAGTCATAATTATAATATTAGGCTGAATCAGTAGACTTGACAATTCTCTGGCGAAAATACATGACGCTATGATTCTCTCTACATTGCAAACATCATAGGAAGCACGCGACTTCTGGCTTTGTTTCACCAAGGTAGTTAAAGACACAAGATTTTCTGCTATTGCTTATGCAGCTAAGATATTTTCCTTTTCCTATAAAGTACATATTTGTAAGAAGAAGATAAACTAACTAATATATGAGTGAATTCGGACATGACAAAAATGGTTACGTTGTACAGCTTTGAGTTGAAATATAAGCGACAAACATCAGTCCAGCGCTTGGAACTTTCTGATGCAGTCGTTCAGCATTTTCCATATTACAACAAAAGAGCCATGACGCCGTTGCATATGCCGATACCTCATATCACATATCATAAAGGAATTCCTCCAAAGTGCCACCAACCAACCCCGGCCGCGAGGCTGAATCCTCCGCATTACCTCTATAATATACATTTATATGCTGCCCATAACACCATCTAGTTCTATCCTCTACAAGCCAATGGATTTTTTTTTTCAGAACTCAATGCTCGCTTGCTTATTTAAATCAATTTTTCCCAACGCTCGAACGCCCGAACTGGAAACTAGGGAACGAAAAACGGCAAACATCGCACAGATTTAGAGGGTCCATAAACCGCTTCGGCGTTTCCCTAGCGGGTATACGATGAGTGCGCTTAGGAAAAGGCCGACAGTAATACCGATAGCAATTTGGATCATCGATGCGGCGACGTTGAACACTATCGTATCAAGGGGCTGACCTTGTTGAATAGTGACCTATTTGAAGTGTTAGTCGACAATCTACAAATGCGGTTAAGAGTGCATGCCAATACTCACAGTACTAGTGCCGTTGATAACTTCTGTAGAATTGTTTAGTTCATTTGCTGTGCTCAGCCCGCTCAAAAGGCTTCCCGTTGCTGCTAAGCCACTGGGTACCTGCACGAAGATAGCGGGCAAAAGAGCGGCAGCCGCCACGCCAT